GAAACGAATATCGTTTGCGAAGGAAGGACAAATCAAATTATTTGCAAGTATTTATAAACTAATACATGTAAAATTGCTGTTTAAAATTTAATATGCTTTTTATTAGAAGCTAAAGTTTACGATATAATATTATTTACCGGAACTAGACTTTTTGACCTTTCCTAAATTGTTTTTAGTTCCTTTTTACCATAATAATGTCAATACTGTAACTGCTTGACGCTGTTGTTAATCAGATAGTTCATTCTGGAAAAAATCTAGTCTTTTTTCGATGATTCTTGAAAAATTCCATCTACTTTTCTTGATCCATATATTAAATAACATTTTGCAATATATCATGTATTCATCCTACAATTTAGCACATTTAGTGCAAATTAACAAATATTGATCCATATGTTAATGAGCTTGTCAGTATTGAACTGTGTGACTGACACATGCTCATTAAAACTGTTTAGTATTTCGATATGTTATCAATATTTTTGGTGGGACTTCCTAAAAAGTATTTGAAGTATATACAGGGTATTCAAATTCGACTGCTAACCATTCTAAAAAGTTAAATAAAAAACTTTATCCGTATTTAAAAAAATAAAATTGATGATGGTTCCAGAAAAATGAAACGTAGCAACGTTATTATACATTATAAATAATAAAAGTTTTTCATCACACTGTAGGTACCGTTTTTGTTTAAAATGATATGTTTTTAAGATTATATTAGTTGTGGGTTATTCTAGGAAGGTATAAAATCACGAGGATATTCAACCTATTTGTCGTATTACTTTGATATTTGTTTTGCCATTTGTTAGTCACAACTTTTCTAATATGGTGCTGGAAATGAGAGAAAATTAGATGTGTTTGAAAACTGGTAATATTAAAATAAATTTTATGCATCTGTGACAAGGTTTTATTATGTATTTTCCTAAACCATCTGAAATTAAAAAGATAATAAACAAATGTGACGAAAAATAGAGAAAACTCATGTTAATAGACGACAAATAACTATATTTCTAACTATATTAAAACAACCAACTGGGATACTCGGTCTAATGATGTCGACACCGAATTTTCTATTTTCGTAAAAACATTAACCAGTCTAGCGTTCAAATCCTTTCCTCTTAGGCCTATCAAAAATAAGGATAATAAACCTTGCACCACTAAAGGTCTACGTATATCTTCTTAAAACATGCGTTCCTTATCTCACTTAAAAAAAATTTCAGACCCCAGTGTCTTCTTCCACAATTTCGAAAACTATACAGAAAAATTTATCATAAGACTATAAGAGCCGCTAAGGACCTTTATTATAATAGGAGAATAGTCAATTCTGGTAATGTTGCTAAAGAAACTGAATGACTTGAGAAACAAAGCTTTTCTTCGTCTAGCAATATCTCTACCTCACCTGAGAACCTTAACGATTACTTTGTAAATGTAGCGAAAAACCATATGTCCTTCTCATGATCCACTTTCATATCTCTCTAATGATAATGTAAACTTACACAGTTTCTTTTTTTCGCCCGTAGTTTTAGAAAAGCTTCGCAGTACAATTAATACCATCAAAAATAAATCCTCATCTGGGACCGACGGGCTAACATTAAAAATGTTTTCGAATCTGCCAGAAAGCACTCTGAATCACCTAACTACTTTAATAAGCATGTCATTCCAAAATGGTATTTTTCCAAAATGTCTTAAGACGGCAATAATCATTCCTCTGCATAAAGAAAGAGACAAAGATGAAGCTTCTAACTATCGCCCAATTGCACTCCTTCCAACACTATCTATATAAGATCATAGAAAGGTTGGTTAAAAAAAGGCTGGTATCTTTTCTGTTTAAGTACAAAATACTTACTGAATATCAATTTGGATTTCTAAGCAACAAGTCCACAAATGACGCTATGTTTTCCCTCCTTAATAAAGTTTACTCCAGCCTAAATAACCATTATTCTACAGCAACAATTTTCTGTGATTTTTCTAAGGCGTTCGATTGTGTAAATCATAAGATCCTAATTAATAAACTGGAGCACTATGAGTTCAGGGGAACATCTCACGAATGGCTTAAGTCGTATCTGAGCAACAGAAGTCAACTTGTGAGGGTGGATACCACGTTGTCTTCTAGCAAGCCAATAGAATGTCGAGTCCCACAAGGCTGAGTACTAGGCCCTATTTTGTTTCTTCTTTTTATTAACGAGATTGCTAACATAAACATCAGTGGCAAAATATTTCTTTTTGCGGACGACACTAGCTTCACTTGGAGCAACAAGGACGTCACGGCACTTCATAGGATTATATCAAATGATTTAATCACCATTAAATCTTGGTGCGACTCGAACCTCCTGAGTCTCAACATTTCTAAAACTAAAGCTTTGTCGTATAAAAACTCGCTGCAGCTTTTTGTACTTAACAACACCTCCATTGACGTCGTAAAATCTGTAAAATTCTTAGGGCTTGTTGTAGACAATTCTCTGAAATGGGACATACATATCGAAGCTTTGTCGAAAAAATTGAGCTCTGCCTGTTTTGCATTAAGATCTGTTTCTAAGGAGCTTAACTCTTTGAATAAGAAGACTAAGGAAGGAGCATAATGCTATCCATGTATTCATGCATGGTGGGCGGAAAAGCCACCATAAAAGCTCTCTAGGGTGGGGATCCTTGACAGTTCTGTTTGACGATTCATTTGAAACATTTGAATTTGATTTGAAATTTTGTGGATTTGTCAGTCTTTACGGAACTTATTTTATGTTATTTATTATTTATTCTACTACTGATAGTTGTATAAAGGTAGTAAATCTAGATGGAAATTGTGGCAGAACTTAAATTAACAGTGACACTATCGCGATTTATCGAAAAAGTCTCTAAAATAGTTGGTTGTGTAGCGTGCGGTAGATCTCGGCAAAAATTGAGTGAAAAATAGTTGGTTGTGTAGCTTAAAAATTTTTACTAGCAGACCTTGCAATTGAATACTGTTCTTTTTAGAACCTTTTTTAGTGCAAAGTGTACAAGATAGATTGATTATACATATTAACAAAGATATTTGTACTTTAAACTTTTTTTTAAAATAATATGGGAGGTATATAGAAACACTCATTATTTTTTTTACATTAATAGTAAATATTTTGTCCAGTTGCTGTCATATGACAAGTACTAAGATTGACGTCTGAAATTCTCGACACATATAAATATTGACCAGTTCATTTGTAGTTTTTGTTACTAAATATTGATGCTAATTGATACCAATACGAATGTTTTACATATGCTAATCATCGGAAAATAGCTAGATAATCAATATTTGACATTTTTGTATTATTTGTTTAAAAATAATGATTTATTGGTGTCTATGTTTATGGAAATTTTTAAAAAAGAATAAAGGAACACTCAAAAATCGTGATACTGAAATCGTGAAAAAATTATTATATTTCCGTATCACCCTGTATATGCACTGTATAATATTTGTTTATTTAACGTTTCTAAATGGCTTGTTTCTGATTTTGTTTTATAAAAATGACTAGCGTCTACCAGCGACTTCGTTCGCGTCGAATTAATCATTTGTAATGGTGATGATAAAGCAAAGCAAGAATTTCCATTAACATACAAACTGGATAAAATTTTCTCACATTTATGTCAGCATGAGAAAAAACAATATGGCGATATTATTATATAACTTGGTAATATTTGAGGGGTAGTTTCATCTCGTTGGAATTTGACTTTCGAAAAATCCGTTTGCCAAAAATAAGATTTTTACGTCAAGCAGTTTAAGCAGGATCGTGGTTAAGAAATTACCCAACTTTTTGGAACACTGTATGATTTTTTAAAAAATTACAGAATATGTAAAAAAACCCAATAAATTATGCTTGTCCATAGCGTTTTCCCGAAAGACTAACCGTTTTTTAAATAACAAATATTGTAATATTTGAGGGGCGTTTTCACCCTCTTGGAATTTGGGATTCGAGAAACCCCTCCTTATCGAACCCCACCGTCAATCCGTTTGCCAAAAATCAGCTTTAAACGTCAAGCAGTTTAAGCAGAATCGTGATTATTCAATGGTCATATTTTATGAAACACCCTGTATAAATTTATAAAAAATCTTAAAATATGTAAAACAACAAAATAAAATATACGTGTTTAAGAGTTTTTCCGAAAAACTCACCGGTTTTTAAATAAAAAATATTTTAATATTTGAGGGATAGTTTCACCCCCTTAGAATTTGAGTTTCAAAAAATCCCTTCTTATCGAACCTCTACACCCTAAAGTCAGTCTGTTTTCCAAAAATCAGCTTTTTACATCAAGCGCTTTAAGCAGGATCGTGATTAATCAATGACCAGATTTTTCGAAACACCCTGTATACATTTTTAAAAAATCTTAAAATATGTAAAAAAACAAAATAAAATATACGTGTTTAAGCGTTTTTTCGGAAACTTGACCGTTTTTTAAATAAAAAATATTGGAATATTTGAGGGGTGGTTTCACCCCCTTGGAACTGGAATTTCGAAAAATCCCTTCTTATCGAACCTCTACACCTTAGAATCAACCTATATGCCAAAATTGAGCTTCTTACGTTGAGTGGTTTGTGCAGGATCGTGATTAATCAGTATGTCAGTCACTTAAGCATTTTATATATTAGTATAGATAATGCATTACATATAATAGACATACTATGTTGTAAAATAAGCTACAAATTATAATGGCTTTTTGCCTCGTGTTATGTGCATATGAAACATAACGTCTATATTTAAAATAAACTAACTGGTTAATTATACAATTAATTGTTTCTATAATCCATACAAACTAATTAACAATATATAAAATGAATATGATCTGAATAAATATTTCATATAACTATGATTAACATTCAGTTGTTAAAAAAATGTTTTTTTTAGTTTAAACTTTTGAACCAAAAAAAGTTATACATAAAACTTTAATGAAGAATGGATAAAAATAGTCCAATAAAAGCCTTGATTGGGTTTACATAGGATTATTTTTCATTAAACACAGTATATTGATTTTTTCCAAAGCATGCGCATGATGTTTCCATCTGGATAAGGAAGGAAAAATACACTATTGATACTTAATGCACAAGGAAAAGCACAAAATCCAGCAATTTTCCAAGTTTTAAAGTAATTTTCCTATGTAAGTTTATGTTTTTTGCATTTATTTAGTTATTCAGACGTGCACAAACTATTTTGAGGTAAGTTTCAAGGGCTTACTTTTAATGATAATATGTATTTTATGATAATACATATGTTTTGACATTTTTTTTAAGTTTTTTCTAAAATATTCACAGCCTATTAATAACCAGCCTGTCGACTTAAAGCTGATTTACATTTGTCACTTTTAATGGTCACCTTAGAGGAATCCTCTATAGTGTTAAGTGTAGAATGCGTCTATATTTTATACTTATATGTGTCCTGTTTATATGAAACAGTCAGTTTAATGAAATATGATTAAAATAAAATAATAGTCCTATTATTTTTCAGAATCTACCGGTACTTGGGGGGTTTATTTTCTTCTATACGCATCAACTGAGCAATGCCTGGATCCAGAAAAATGATTTTAAAACACGTAATGTCTGGAATTTGTACCAAGATGAATCGGACAAAACAACTACCTTCTGACGTCATGGAAACGCCGCTGAATAGATGTTTGAACACCTTTGACATCACACTTCTTGGTAAATAACTTTTAAGTTTAATACTAACTCTCTGCCCTGTGTCACATGAATGCTAACAAATCTTAGATTTGCAAAAATTGACCTTTTTAAATAATCTTTATGTTATCTAACTAATATATATTTTTCTAAGTTAATATTTTCTTTTTGATTAAACGTTTTTGTTATTTTCTTAGGTGTGGGACATATGGTAGGTGCAGGAATCTACGTTTTAACAGGAACAGTAGCCAAAGACATTGCTGGACCTGGAATCATCCTGTCCTTCCTTTTGGCGGGACTAGCATCATTGTTATCAGCACTATGCTATGCTGAATTCGGTACTAGAGTACCCAAAGCTGGTTCAGCTTACGTCTACACTTATATAAGCATTGGGGAGTTCTGGGCGTTCGTGATTGGCTGGAACATACTTCTGGAACACATGATCGGTAAGGAAGAATGATAAAATTATTCTGGAAAGTGTGTTTTATACAGAGCGAGTCTTAAATAGGTACAAGGGTGGTATATTTCATCTCCAGAAAAACACAGTTTTTTTACGGATTTTTCTTTTAAGTTTCGAAAAAATTAGATTTTTATTAAATAAACTTTTTTATTTAAAAAAAATGATATCTTGCCAAGAGGTTGCCTTACTTGCTCGAAAATCGACAATAACTATGAAACTATGATCCCTTCCCTGACACAAACGGTACATTGTGAGACAGGAAATTGTAGAGAGAAACAAGCCCTATAATATAGGATACAACATTTTAATGAACAGTGCTTTCCATAAGATCAATAAAATGAAAAATATACGAAATAATATACATGTACTGATTTCTTTCGAAAATCGACAACTATGAAACTATGATCCCTTCCCGGACACAAACGGTACATTGTGAGACAGGAAATTGTAGAGAAAAACAAGGCGTATAACATAAGATACAACATTTTAATGAACAGTGCTTTCCATAAAATTAATAAAATGAAAAATATACGAAATAATATGTACTGATTTTTTTCAAAAATCGACAACTATGAAACTATGATCCCTTCCCGGACACAAACGGTACATTGTGAGACAGAAAATTGTAGAGAAAAACAAGCCCTATAACATAGGATACAACATTTTAATGAACAGTGCTTTCCATAAAATCAATAAAATGAAAAATATACGAAATAATATACATGTACTGATTTCTTTCGAAAATCGACAACTATGAAACTATGATCCCTTCTCGGACACAAACGGTACATTGTGAGACAGGAAATTGTAGAGAAAAACAAGCCCTATAACATAGGATACAACATTTTAATGAACAGTGCTTTCCATAAAATCAATAAATTGAAAAATATACGAAATAATATACATGTACTGATTTCTTTCGAAAATCGACAACTATGAATCTATGAACCCTTCCCGGATACAAACGGTACATTGTGAGACAGGAAATTGTAGAGAGAAACAAGCCCTATAACGTAGGATACAACATTTTAATGAACAGTGCTTTCCATAAAATCAATAAAATGAAAAATATACGAAATAATATACATGTACTGATTTCTTTCGAAAAGGCATTGTCTTGTTCATCTTCAAATATGTGTTATTTTAGAAAATGGATGTATCATAGTAATACATAATAAATCTATTATTTATTTATAACAAAATAATTGTTATTATTAATATTTTAGGTGCAGCCTCTGTTGCCAGAGCTTGGAGCGGCTATGTCGACTCCCTTTTTGCAGGCGTTATTAGTAACACCACTATGTCAATTACTGGAGAGCTCCACGAACAACTCTTAGGAAGATATCCAGACTTTTTGGCATTTACTGTCTGTCTGGTTTACGCCTTCTTACTTGGTAAATGACCTGATTACCTATTCATGTTTTTTTTTCTGTTGATACTAGCAAAACATATTGTTTTCTTGATATGGGTAATTTTCTTTTATTTTAGGTATTGGTGTTAAAGGTTCAGCAATGGTTAACAGCTTCCTAACTATTATCAACTTGACAGTGATGGCTATAGTGATCTTCGTAGGATTTTACTACGCCAATGAAGAAAACTGGACTGGAAAGGGTGGTTTTCTACCCTACGGTTTTGGAGGTGTAGTTGCAGGTATTTTTTATAAAAAAAAATATCTACTTTAAGCATTCTTTTTGTCTGGTTTATATGTTTCCAGGTGCCGCAACATGCTTCTATGCTTTCGTGGGATTCGACAGCATAGCTACTTCGGGAGAGGAAGCAAAAAATCCTTCATTTTCAATTCCTATGGCCACCGTTGTCTCTATGGGCATAGTAACTTTAGGATATGTACTGGTATCAGCGGCACTAACATTAGTGATACCTTACTATAGCATCAATACAAGGTAATAAATATTTTTTTTAGATTTTTACTGATATTAAATGATGTTACAAATCACAGTATTTATTAATGATACAAGTTCGATACGAACATCATAATGAAACGCGTGTAACGTTTCAGTAAAGTTTTAGAGATTTGATTTAATTTAAAATATCAGAGATATTCTAATAAAAATTAAAATTCAAAATTATCAGGTGCCCATATTAGTCGACGCCGTGGCAACCGTGCTTGTTGATTGCATAAAATAATTAACTAGAAAGAAGTGTTAACTCTGTGTTAAATCGTGGAAACACGATACGCCACCGAAAGCCTTCGTTGTCGTCTGGAAAACTAATTTACCAATTGACAGGTTGACATGATGGCTTCATTTTTATTTCCGTTTCCGGTTATTCAATGGCGGGTCCTCTTTTAGTCTAAATGTACTTTGTACTCTTTCTTATCATAAATAAAACAAAACAAAATTTTATTCAAACATATTTATTTGAAATATGAGACAACGTGACTAAATAAATATAAAATTAGTAAGGTATAAGCATGACTTACAGTAATTTGTAAATAAATACACGTATTCACAGCCATCAGGGACAGAAAACTGGGGCAGGAACATGAAAACGGGAGCCTTATACAAAAACCTGAAAACAGAAAAACAAATTTTTTTATACTAAAATTAACAATGTAAAAATATCAATAGGTATAAAATATAAATATACTGTTTAAAAAAAGCGTCCATTATTCCCAAAGAGACCTGGCTTATAAATCAAAAAGAAGCAAAAAGAGACTTTTAGTCGGATAACATAATCAGATTATCAGTCCGATTTATTGCATTACTGACAATAAATGGCACATACTGGAGATAACTAATGTTGGCTATAGTTAAAAATGATCTTACCTTGCTGTAAATTATTTCCATTTTCAAAAAAATGGCCGATCAAAGAGATTACACCATTTTTTTGCATCTAAAAATGTAAAAACAGTGTTTATTTACTACTTATTTTTCATATACATAGGACATACCTACTACTGCAGAAACGTCATTTTCTCCAGGATTCTTCATGTAATATATATTTTATATACTTTATTACCTTTATATTTATAAATTTCAGCCGAAATATTAAATTGAACTTCCAAAACGAAACTAAACGGAGTGAAATTTTAATTGTTAAAATGGCGTCGAATATTTTCTAATTTGTTCTAGAACAAATCTGAAGTTGTCTCTGAAACTGAAATCTGTCAATTCTAAACTGTGAAGTTAGGCAATAGTTAGACAGAAACATTGCTGTCCTTGTCTAGGCGGCCATACTTGTCGTCAGGAGAATGACAGGAATGACACTAATGACTGTTTCCAATTTTCCTATTTCACTGTCACCCCCCTGGCTAGCGATTCTGTAAACATATTTTCTGTCTAGTGACTCATCAATCGTATACAAATAGCATAGGCTAGACAGGAAATTTCTTGCTATGGAGATTACAGAATCCCACCGCTGGTTGATTGTTACCATTTTGACTTATTACTTATAAAAAGTAATAAGTCTTTTGACTTATTACTTATAAAAATTATTTTGACCTTATTGATGTTCAATATTGTGTTAAACGTTCAGTTTTAGCAAAAAGCAAAAAATAATATTAATATGGGTGATTCTGATTCTGAAAGTGTCCCTTCGGATATTGAAGGCATTGCGCAAAACGTTGTCGATTCCCTACTTCCCGAAAAATCAAGACAAACGTACGAGCAAGCCTATGTAAAACTTGAAGATTGGTGTAAAGGGAAGGAACCAAGAATAGTAGTAACGAAAAGGTTCTCCTAGCATATTTTGAATATCTTTTAAAACATAGGAAGGCTTCATCACTTTGGGTATATTAGTCTAAGCTACGTTCAGTTATATCAGTGAAGAAAAATACAGATATTAGTAAGTACGTCCATTTAATTGTATTTCTAAAAAGAAAATCGGAAGGATTTCGGTCAAAAAAATCGAGAATTTTAAGAAAAAAAGACATAACTCGTTTCTTGTTGGAAGCCGATGATAAAACTTATTTCCTGACAAAAGTTTCATTGATAGTGGGACTTGCGGGAGACTGCCGGCGTATCGAGTTGACAAATCTGCAGCTGCAAAATGTTAAAGATGAAGTACAATGCATTCATGTCATTATTCCATTTACGAAAAGAAAGATATCACGAGATTTTGTATAACGAAAGGTAATGTTGATGGAATAAATATGGTGGAAATGGTTCGAAGATATACGATAGCTATGCGACCAAGCAACACAGAGCATACTCGATTTTTTGTGGGGTACAGAAATTGAAAATGTATTAAGCAACCCGTTGGCATTAATACTTTAGGAAAAATGCCGTATAAAATAGCATGGTTCCTAAGTCTTCCAAATCCACAACTATATACTGGACATAGTTTCCGTAGATCGTCTGCGTCGTTGCTTGCAGATTCAGGAGTGGATTTATTAACTGTTAAAAGACATAGTGGTTGGCGCTCTAACACAGTGGCAGGGAGCTATATAGAAAATTCCAAAGAAAATAAGAAAAAAGTGTCATATTTTGTAATATTTTGGGTAACATTTCTGGCAATGATGGGTCATCAACAAGTTCAAGCAATCAGGAAATAAATTTACTTTCTAAAAATTCAACTCACCTGTCATCGTCTGGAATTAATTTAACCAACTGTTTTTTTTCTAGTTTTTGTTTAATTGTAGTTTTATATTTCTTGTAGCGCTGCCTTGCCTGAAGCTTTTGTCAACGTTGGACAACACTGGGTAAAATACGTAGTATCCCTAGGTGCTATTTGTGGCATGACAACCACCCTCTTTGGATCATTATTTTCTTTGCCAAGATGTATGTACGCCATGGCAGTAGATGGACTGCTTTTTGGATTTTTAGGTACCACAAGTACATGAAAATGTTTCACAGAATATGTGCTTTATTGATTAAATTTATTTTAGGAAATATCAATTGCAAAACTCAGTTACCTCTAACTAATTTGATTATTTCTGGACTATCTTCTGCCCTAATAGCCTTATTGTTTGACCTAGAAAAACTAGTTGAATTTATGTCAATTGGAACCTTACTGGCATATACTATCGTGAGTGCCAGTGTGATTATACTCAGATACAGGTGAGTACATTGTATATTGTAGGATGTACGTGTCCCTCTTTTTTGAGTTATAACTCATCATACAGTCTCAGGGATTTGACAACCCAAGTAGCATTTTCACGACTTGCGACCACATGTTTACTAAACACAACGTTGGATTAGTTACAAAAAATAGTTATCTCCCTACCTTGGGTATTAAAATAAATTTAAACGTTTTTATAACGTTGTGCCGACGTTGGACTAGTACTACAGCAAAGTAGAAGCTTCTGCGACGTCGAAGAGCAGTCGTGGAAGCTATTTCACTAGAGAGAAAACGTAATCTTGTAATAATTAACAAAAGATATATAGATATTGACCCAGACATGTGCGTAGAGAAACAAACAGTTGTATAATACTTTAAAACTAATGACTATATTTATTCATGACGTTCTTGTTGATACATGACATTGTAGAGTGCTAGTAAATATATAGTGGTTATATGTCAAAGAAAGTGGTGGTAAGAGTTGTACTAAATATCTATGAAAACGACCTGATAAAATACAAGAAATGTAAAGTTTAAGAGAATGTATTGAAATGTAGCATTACTTTAATTAATTTTATATATTTTATATGATGTTAGAGTGCAGTGCTGTTATCTATAAAAAGTAATACTATTTCAAGACATAATGCAATGAAGAAAGGTAAGATCTAAAACTATATTTAACTACTAAATCGACATGAATATTACCGATAGTTTACCACTCCCTCGTTTCTATACGATATTATTTAAGATGTACATTATTGTTTAAGACTGTAAATGTTTTAAAATGTTAAATGCAAACTATAACTTAAATCTACACTGCGCTGTTGCTGCAGTCAAAATTATGCAATCCTGCTTAAACTAGTAACATCGTGAGGTGGTCTCGCATTTCTCTGTACTCAGCCATCCAACACAACTAAAGGGCCGACACCATAAATTGGTACAGCTGTAACTAATGTTTCTTACAGCTGGGAAACGAGCAGCATGGGACTCAAGCTACATCCACGCTGTGGCATTTGAAATAGTCCGTACCTCTGGACACAGTCCGTACCTTGCGACACAAATTCCGTACCTTGGACACAGTCCGTACCTTGAAACAGTCCGTATCTTGGACACAGTCCGTACCTTTGACACAGTCCAGTATCTTTCACCCTCGAAACACTTCTGAGGGTCAATAAATAATAAACAAATATGTCCTTTCTTTGGGTGTGAGATACTGGAGGACAAAAGAAAAGGGACAATAATTATGCCAGCAAAATCCTCCACAAGTTAAATATCCGTAACTCTACCCTAAAAGCCATCTGAATAATAATATCTAAACCATAAGGATAATATTCTCATCTTTACCTGTTGCTTTGAAATAAACAGCTGATTCAGATTATACAGCAAGATTTAAATAATCACCATTTCTAAAAACGCTGCAGTTTCTTAGACGCCATATTAGTTTTGTATTTCTATGAATTAGGATTTTAAACAACGTTGCAGTTTGTACTAAATTAGGCTTCTAGCCAACGTCGGTATCCAACGTCGTTTCGACCCAAAAATTATTCTCCAAACTAGTGCAGACTAGAGTTGGCACGAGGTTGTGCCGACGTTGCGCCCCGACGTTTGGTCGCGTGACACAACGTTGTCCCGACGTCCAAATGCTGCTTGGGAAAAGCCAGTATCTGAGACGGTTTTACAGAAGGTAGTTCTCCGATATATTCAATACATTTAATTGGCCGAGGTTAAAAATATAAAACTATCAACTTCCGTTGCAATAGATACAATAGTTCTGGAAGATTTTGTCATCTAAAATAAATGTATAATTTTCATTTTTTTGCACCAGAGATACCATGATGTTGAGCATCGAAATTGTCACCACCCTGTATACACTCAAAAAAAAGCACGGGTAGTACGATCAACCAAACAAAGAATATAAAATCGCTCCAACCTAGCCGTGAATAGTTGAATTGAACTTTCTTTTATTAGTTTAAAAATTCTATTGTTTCAATTTCATGTGATGTTTTAGGCCAACTTTTGAGACTACGGCCTGCAAGCCTATATCGACTCCGGCCTCAGAAGTTTCTGCTTCCACATCAGAACTAACAACTCCAGCATCAGAAATTATTAATTTGACTGGAACATTGCGAGTTCAATACAGCTGGTAATTTTTAAGCCTTCCTTAATAAATCTGTATTTGATTTAAGGATGATTCACGGTACACCGTGACGGGCCGGAGCCGTGCGACGGTGAAGGCACGGCCAAACATTGTCAAATGTTATTTATACTTATACCACGGCACATAAAACAATCGGCACGCCAACTCTACTCAGATTCCATTGTTTAAAATTTCTATAAAATTTGACCTTGTCGGCGCCATTATGGTTTCCTAGTCAGGGCCGGATTAAAACGTATTAAAAAATTTCTCAAAAAATACGACAGGGTCGTATTAAAAAAATACTGTAATTGACTGAAACTGAATTTTATTTACAATACTTTTGTCCAAACAAATGAATCGTTAACCGCGCATACTTCTCGAAAAGTAAAAATGAAAAAATCAATTAAATATTTCACTGTAGAGAATAGACAATTAAATTAAAAAAAAAAACATGCAACTAACAAAAACTTGCCAGGAGTTACAAACAAGAATTAAAAAAATTCCAATAAAATATTTATTGAACAATATAAAGAGGCTACCAACATACAAATTATGCCCATCAATGGGCGTAGCAAATTTATTTTAATATTCAAATTTCACAAATTAATAAATCCACAATTTTTTTAAAAATTCTATTTTTTATCATGGAAGGAAAATAGGTACCGCATTGTATTTTATACGGTTACAAAGTGAATTGGTATACATTTTAAATTCAAAGTGAACAGAACACAACCTGTACTTGTGGGCCTTATTTATATCTTCAATCAAGTCTTCTCCGTTAGCTACAATTGCCCATGTTCTTGCCCTAAAAACGTATTAACTTATTTTCGATATACTCATTTTATTTATTTTTATAATTATATTTAAATGAATAATATAATGATTTTTAAATTTAATTTTTAATGTCTAGATTCTAGATACAACATTAAATTTTATTTTACTAAATATTTAACATTAAATCTTACTAATATTAAAGTTTGTTAAGATTTTTTAATTAGATCTTCCTATTTAGCTGAATGTCCTAATATGTATACTATCTCGTTGATATTTAGGGAAGGATAAATAGGAAGGAAAATAGAAAATTCAATTTAGATTTGATGATCCTTTTTATGTCACCTAAAATCGAGGAGTTTGTTTTCACAACTAAAATATGTTAAAATAATTAATCAACATATACATACCTAATAGGATCTCTAGGAAACAGAAACTGTATTGAACAACAAAAATAAAACTACTAAAACAAATTATAATTACATAATAATAATAATAGCTCCCGTATATAGCGTTTGACGCCTTGGAGTAGCCAGCTACATGACTTGCCATACTAGAGCCGTTCGGTATACAAAGGAAGGTAATGTGGCTAGCACTACGCTTCAACCGCCTATTATTACCTCAGGATTGTGAATCCCAAGTACTCATTTAAGGCTGAGTCGACCTAGGTACCCAAACTATTTTTATTTTAATAAAAATAGTCGGCTGATGAACTGCCGGGTGTGGGATTCGAACCCACTACCTTGAGATTGGTAGACGAGAGCCTGTACCTCTACGCCACCGGGCACCTATTGGCAACTATATTACATAAGAAACGAAAATAAAACTAGAAAAACCAAATATATCACATAATAAACAAAAATAAAACAACAACTATAAAATATAACTCAAGAAATAAACAAAATAAATTAATCCGTACGCTACTGACTCGAATCAGCCGAAAGTGTGCGCAGTCGATGAAAGAAACTACGACACTGGTTACTTTCTGTTGATGACAACCCTAATGGCGGCGTGCGCGACGGTATGCGCGTAGCGTTCCCGCCAAAGAGAGTTAGCCTGCCGTGTGATTTATATCTGTGATTTATATGCCGTGCTTATACATTCATGCTAAGCCGAGCACGGTCCGAGCTTCGCCGGAACGCGTCCGTGCCCCGTCCAAGAAATGTCGGTGTACATTTTTCCTCCGATCCGCTACGGTCCGGCCCCGTTGCGGCAAACATAAATGAGCCGCCGCGGCTAAATACTTCGTTCGTCTACGGGCCTATAGCGACAGAAGTGTCTAGTCCTAGCCGTCAACTATTAAGCTTGACCAATCAGGTTGGTTAGCGTGGTGATTTGGAGTGTGTTAATTCATTTGTGTTTGTCAAAAACTCTAACGTGATTGGTCGGGCTTAACAGTTGCCTGCTAGGGCTAGACACAAGTCTATAGCGACTGTTTTCTAGCAGTGTTGCCGCACCCAACTTTTAGCGCGTACCACATTATAAACTAAAAATGTACCACTTTGGTACAATTTTTTAAAGCACAACAAAATACATCTGCAAATGACTTTAACCGGTTTGGTCGTTGTGAATTTCTTCATAAATTTCTACATAAAAAAACTTCCTGGAGAAAGACACAAATCGAGACGAAAAACATGAAATAGAAATTCAGAAAACCCAATTATAAGTATGTATAGGTTGAAGAAATCTAAGTAATTCTAATACTACACACAATACTTGGAAAACTTAAATTTTATTTAAAAAAAACGCAAATATAGAAGCATGTTAGAAACAGTAAATTTTCAAGTTTTTTCTTCGGGTTATTTAATATAGGCAACGCTATAGACATTACAACGTTTATAATACGTCGTTAATTAATGCGGATTTTCTCCGAATGGTATCGGTAAGCGCGTTTAATGCAATATCAACGACAATAATTATTAAATATCTATTCAATTTCGGTGCGCGTGGGAAATAATTATTGTACCAAATCATCCTGGATTTGAAAATGTAGTACTACTGTACCAAATAGAATTAAAAGTATCAAATTTGGTACAAATGTACCACTGCGGCAACACTGTTTTCTAGAATATAATCGGCACGGACATGATCCCCGTTGTCCACTCGGTGTAGCATATATTGAAGGCCCGGACGTGGCTCGGTGTCTACTTTACGGAACGTGCCCGGCTCGGGTACGGTCCGGTGTACCGTGAATCATTCTTTAGGCCCAGTTATACAAACATAGTTTGAATTAAAAAAGCTAAAGACGAATAATATATTTAGGTATTAGTGATGGGTATGTGTTTTTTTTTAGGTTAGCACCTATTTTTGGCAGTTGTGAACCTGGCGCAGTCGTCACTGGATCTGTATTTATCTACACATTATTCTGCTGTGCTCTCTGCACATTCTTTCAAATATCCAGAACGGATTTAGAGAATGGAATATGGTGGACTGTGATTCTTGCCACATTTTTCATACTTGTCATGGCCGGATGTACGTAAAAATCAAAAAATATATACATTTTTTAAATCATATTTTTTTAAATAACGTTTTAGGTGTGTTGGTTATATGTGCCCATCATCAAAACACGACCAGTTTGAGGTTCAAAGTACCGATGGTACCGTTTATACCGGCTTTGAGTATATTATTCAACATTGAGTTTATGGTACACCTGAATATTTTGACGTGGCTAAGATTTTTTATATGGATGGTTATAGGTAACAAAATTTATATGTATATAAGAAAAACCTCAAAAAGATACAGTGGTTGTCAAAATTTAAGCAAAAATTTATATTTTTTTTTGAAATTTTAAAAGTAAAATAACTCCGTTATTTTGGACTTATTTGAAAAACGGTAAAGGGACAGTATGTTTCTTTTATCGAGATCTACCAGCCCGGAAAATATTTGCACTTATTTAAGACTCACCCTGTATAAACTCGATTATATTTACAGAAAAAGTATAATAAACATTTGTAAAATATTAACAGATTACAACAGATTTAAGTTTGTTATTTATGTTTTGTTATAAGTGATTAGCATAAACAATTATTATTTTTTATTTATGAGCTAGAAATATATGACTTTTGAGACAGAGTATACGATGCAGAATTTTTCCACTGATTTTTAATACTTACTGAACTTAAAACTATAAACGTAAACACCCATATTTCTTCATTTTATTATTTGAAATGCTATAAACAAAGGCAAATTTCTGTAGAGTTGTTTTTTTTTTTCAAACGTCACAAAAGTGTTAATTTTTGCGATGTGCTTGACATACAATATAAAAAAGTAATTTTAACGCTTACCTAAAGTGTTAAATTCGACGAGTGTAACCATAGTTTCTCAATATACAATTCCTTACAAGGTATTACTTTTATACCATTTCATGTTATTTGCAATGTTTGAAATTGTTTAAAAAATTATTTGTGACGTTTGAAACCACGTTCTATTCGGAGTAAAAATGACTTTTGTACCTCACCTATAATAATGTACAGGGTGAGTCAACGATAGAGTAAAGTCCGTTATCTCATTTGTTTCGAGGTTTACAAAAAAATGTTAAATACAAAAGTTATAGGGAAAATTAAGATACACATTCTAAAATTATTATAGAGTATACATGGTGCTTCAAAAAAGTGTGGCGGATATAACATATATGTTTTTAAAGGCAACACCCTATTTTTATTTCATTTTTAGATTCTGCGTAAAATTCTATAACTTTTTTATATATAACGTTATATACCTAAAATTAATAGTTTTTGTAATATTTAAATTTGTTTATACAAATGTTAAATTGCAGTGTGGTAAAAAATTGTCAGTGGTACCATTGTTTCTGAAGTTCGAATACCAAAATTTGGTATGAGAGTTCTATAGAGATTAAAAGGAAGATATATGTTAAGATATTTTAGTTAAATTCTACAGGGTGTTCAAAATATATTTATAAATTTCAACTATTTAAAATTAAAAATCTAAAATTTTTTAAATGGTACACCCTATATATTTTGATTTTTTCTGATAGATTTTGCAAAGCTCTTCAACTTTTATTAAGTATGTCATATACCTATTTTTAATAATTTGCGATTTATTCCAATTTTTTCTATTTTTACCCATATTTTTAATACAATTAGGCTATAACATCATAGTTGCCATGACAAAAAATAATAATTATTATCAAAATTTCATATGTCTGTTAGCAAGTTAAGAACAAAAGGTGAATTTTAGTTTAATTTGTTGTAAGTATTATAAATGGTAGAGGTAGAGGTAATAGTTTCAGATTTTCCTGAAAATGGATTAGTCAATGTGACTGATATACACGAACAAGCCAAAATAAACATATTTTTTGGTTCAGTACTATATATTATATAGTACTTTGCTAAGTACTATAAGAATAGATGTAGATTATCTAGAAAACATTTTGATACTATATTATATTATAATATTTTCAGTGTGTAATGGGACGGTTTTGTGGCAGTAGTAATATTGGCTTTACGAAATTAATTATAAACCAGAATTACTACGAGAAAAAAAACTTTACTGTATGTCGGAGAAAATTTCAATATCAGTAGTCGTCAACAATTAGGTAATCTAGTTAGTATTACCCTAATCTGTGGCTATTCGGCCCGACGGTAAACTCCAAATGTCATCTTTCATAATACAGAAATACACCAAGAAATTCTCGACTACGATTTTAGTTTATTTGAGTAAAGTTAGTTAATTTTGACTAATAATAACAATTTTAACTAATTATTAAACTACTTGTTAAAAATAAGTAATAAATATGTTTGTTTTGTCACGGCAACTATGATGTTATAGCGTAATTGTATTACAAATGAGGGTAAAAATAGAAAAAAATTGGAATAAATCGCAAACTATTAAAAATAGGTATATGACATACTTAATAAAAGTTGAAGAGCTTTGCAAAATCTATCAGAAAAAATGAAAATATATAGGGTGTACCATTTAAAAAATTTGAAATTTTTTTATTTTAAATAGTTGAAATTCATAAATATATTTTGAACACCCTGTAGCATTTAACTAAAATATCTTAACATATATCTTCTTTTTAATCTCTATAGAACTCTCATACCAAATTTTGGTATTCCAACTTCAGAAACAATGGTACCACTGACAATTTTTTACCACACTGCAATTTAACATTTGTATAAACAAATTTAAATATTACAAAAACTATTAATTTTAGGTATATAATATTATATATAAAAAAGTTATAGAATTTTACGTAGAATCTAAAAATAAAATAAAAAATAGGGTGTTGCATTTAAAAAAAACATATGTTATATCCGCCACACATTTTTGAAGGACCCTGTATACTCTACTATAACTTTAAAATGTGTATCTTAACCTTCCCTATAACTTTTGTATTTAACATTTTTTTTTAAACCTCGAAACAAATGAGATAATGGACTTTACTCTATCGTTGACTCACCCTGTACAGCCTGCAACCACAAAAAGTATAATTTTTGCTCCTAATAAAACAATATAATATTATACCTAAAAGTTATACTTTTAAAAATACCTATGTATTTGCCTGTTAGAATTCTGAAATGCTATTTTTTATGCATATCAGACTAATATAGTATAAATTTCTACATCATAATAATTAGCCATGACAGCCAGTGTCAGAAAAATTTAGTTATATAGAGTCATACGTATATCAATTATCAGCAATAATTATAAACAATCATGCTATTGCAATTAAATTATTAACACGCGAATTTTTTGACACTGACTATCATGGCTAGTTATGATCTGTAAATCACTAATAAACATACAGGGTGGCTCATAAATAGTGTTTTAAGCGGTAGTATTTTTCGACCCCATAGAAAAAAGTTATATTTTATATTTACAATGACATTTTACATGACAAGTGATTTTAAAAAACTCGTAACCCCATAAAACATACGAAAATGGGACTTATATATTTATTTTTCTCTAGGAATGTTGGTATATTTTCTCTACGGCATCCACCACAGTAAAGAGGGTGAAGGAACATCGTCTTACTCAATCCTGATGACGTCTTCGGAAGCTGTCAAAGAAAAATGGGGCTCCACTACCCGAACAAACATCAAAGGATTGCTGACCCACAGAAAAGCTTCAACAGGAGACAAAAAAACTATCGTAAATGAAGACGAAGAAGACATTACTGAGTAATAAAGAAAAAAAAAGATAGAAATTAATAAATTATAAATAAGAATAAAAAAAGAGAGGCTAATAAGATTTATAGACTGCTTTATATTTATTTTACATTATATTTTGAAAAAAAAATATTTAGGAAAATGTTGTTATATTATATTGTTTAGAATATTATCGACTCTATAGTTAAAGAGAGTTTCTGTTGAAAATTTATGAGGATTTAACTATATCTGCGTTGTAGGTTGCGTCAGAAGTCTAATAAGATTATTACAAAGAAAAATAACAGAGAAACAAAAAACTATACGTATGTATATAAATTGATAATAAATAAAAGTTAGAAAATATGTAAATGAACTTTATTTTAACGCCTAGTACATTTTAGTAATCTATAACAGTTATAACTACGATCAGAGATTGATCTCGTCAGAATTATCACCAACTGTCATTCCCCAGCCGTCTTTGACACCGTTTTTTTTTCGATCATACTGTACATTAGAGACAAATTATTATTAGTAATTAAATAAAACAATTATTTCAGTTTAAGAATTTGGTGAATGCGCTAGGCAATAGCAAAATTCTTATCAATATCACAGCGTATACTGGGTGTCTCCACGTTACGAGGGCAATAGCTGAGCACATTTGAAAAGTACTTTTGTGATTATACAGGCTGATTCAAACATGCTCCTTAAGTTTGGAGTATGTTTGAATACTGTACAGGGTGTAAAAAATAGTATTACGAAACTTCAGTTAGTGATACTACAGATAAAAATAAAAGAAAAAATTCCAATAAATATATCGCTTTCCACGCAAAGTGTCGTAACTAATATTTATCTGTTGATATCACCCACTGAAGTTTGGTTTTCTCTTTTTTTACGCCCTGTATATTGGAAACAAAGATTATTAAATTACTGGTAATTTAGTAACTGATAACTAGGTCTTACTTAGGTAATAATTAGGGTCTCACCCTTTAAAATGTTTTAGAGGAAGTAGACGAGAGATAGGTAAACAAAGGGTGATTTTTGTTGCAGGAATGTCCCCTATTATATGGGTGTGGTCCACGGATGGAGTTTCCATGTCAATGGACACTAGACACGCAACACTGCCTTTTAATACTATTGTTCTTTTCATTCTAGTAAAAGCTATGCTCGTAAAATTTTAGCAGAGAGGCTTGTAATATAATATTATAATAAAAAATACATAAAAAATGTCATAAAAAGTTTGGATGCAAATAATTAATACCATTGTATTTTATATCCAGGTTTTATTTATTTATTTTTGACCTCGGTATTTATTACAAAATAACATAAAAATCGTTATACCGGATGTATCAGTTAAATGAAATTTGACAAAACCGTTTTCATCATGGTCTGTCATGTATCAGTGATTAATGCCAAAGTTTTCATCAAAAATTTAACACCCTGTATCTGCATACAGGGTGTTCCTTAATGACATTTTTATCATTAGAAATATTTTGAAAAAAAATTGGAAAATTTTAGCTCCCTGTATCTGAAAAGTTAAGATGTTTAGGACATATATTCATATGAAGTTTTTTTCTTAGAATACATCCAAGAATCACCTCCTTAAATATTAGCATGTCATTAAGGAACACCCTGTATTATTGAACTTCGGTGTTTATTTTGTCTATAAAGTAACTAAAACTCGTTCTTTGATTTACCCCATTCTTTCTTTTTTTCAATGCAATTTTTGTACAATTTGTTTACTTAAATTAACCCCTCTACTGAACTGGAACGCATTTTCCAAAAATAATTCCGTCTATCCCCGATTCAATTCCTGCTATCATCATTTGCCAGCGGAAGCTTTATTTTTATTTCCGTTCCATACCGATAGGGGTCTCGGTGCAGCATATAGTTCAATCTCACTCCTGCGGAACATTGTTGCCAGATGTATTAAGTAAACATCTTAATGACAACTCATTTTAATACAATAATAATTAGATTATATTAAATCAGATTTTTGAAGGTTGCTTTTGGCTTATTAAAATATACAGGGTGGTCCAAACTGTATTCCGAAAACTTTGGCAGCGTATTATATAAATGAATGTCCTAAAGTGTTTATTTTCGGAGATACAGGGTGTAGAAAGTTCATTTTTATTTCGATTTTTTCCAAATAATTTCTGAAGTAACGTAATTTTTGGATGAAAATTGGTGTCTTGGAGTTTTTCGACATGAGCAATTTGATTTAGAAGTCAATATGGCTCCTACTTGTAGAAGGCGCCACCTATATATTTATTGGTTTAAAGAGTAATAACTTTTCGTCTGTATCTGTATAAAATACTGAGCAAAAAAATATACATTTACGACGTTTTTTACGTAAATAAAGTCTTTTGGTAAAAATCGCTACGAGTAATGGTTTTCAAGATATTTGGAACTGAAATTATCAATACCTGTCATCATTGTCATAAAATTAATCATGTTGACTAAATAGTTATTATTACAGTTGAAGGTTGGAACCTTTGGTGTTACACAGCAAAATAAAAACACTAAATCACCACAATACACAAAAACACTTTTACTTTTACACTGGACGCGCGTTTCGCTAACCATGTTAGCATCATCAGCAGATGATTATAAACTAAAGTACAATCTACAAGTTGAGCGTTTTTGCTGTTTTTGACACACATTCAGACACCATAGATAATTTTATTTCTAAGTTAAATAATCGTTTTCCTTCCATTAAATTTACGCATGAAACGACAGATTACCATTTCTAGGTGTATTAGTCATTAGAAATACTAATAATTACCTGGAATTTGATATCTATAGGAAAAATACGACCGCACGCTGATATATTCCTAATGAATCACATCATAGTGTTGAACATAAAATGGCTAGTTTACATTTCTTAGTTCATAGATTACTTAGTTTCCCACTTTCCAACGAAAGATATGAAATAGAAAGAGATTACATTAGGAATGTAGCTGAGTGTAATGGATATTCTTCTTCACTAGTTGATAAATTAATTAGAAAACATAGGTATAGGTTAATGATTTCTGAAAATTCGACTTTTCGCATAGATCTTAATAATTTAAAATTAATTAAACAAGTCTCAGATTACAGGCAATTAGATGCATATGAAAGCATCAGAATTAATAAATGTAAAGTATGAACAGAGACAACGGTCCAATTCCTTCAAGTTCTTTGTTCCTACTACTCTAGTGGCGGAAATCTAACTGTTACGCTCAGTGGGCTCTGACTCGGTTGGCTAGATTTTGCCACGCCCACTCGGCGCCCACTGAGCGAGTATATAAACGCTCAACTTAGGTAGATTGTACGTAGATTGTACTTTAGTTTATAATCATCTGCTGATGATGCTAACACGGTTACCGAAACGCGCGTCCAGTGTAAAAGTAAAACTGTTTTGGTGTATTGTGGTGATTTAGTGTTTTTATTTTGCTGTGTATGTGTAACACCAAAAGTTCCAACCCTCAACTGTAATATACTTTTGTTACATGAAGAGAGATACTATTAATAGTTAGTTATATGAGTTATAGAAGAGAGATACTATAATCTTTATACTATTGTATAAATAATTTAGAACTAAATTTCTGACTTCATATATTATTGTCAATATTATCCTCGAATTTAAAAACTTTCCCGTACGTTTAGCAACGTCGCTTGTATTCTTCGCACGACCACAGATGCACCACTTTTACTATCTGTGTAAAATAGTGGCGGGCTGCCATACGTTTCGAATGTTTCTCCTCATTAGGGATAGTTTCGCGGAAATTACCGACAACGGCTGATTTAAGAGTGAAAGAACTTAAGTGTCACCGGGTCCTGGTTTCGATTTTTTTCGACGTGACTTCCTCAGGAATATTTCGAAAATTCCGCGCGAAAATTTAGAAAAAATATATATTTTACGAGTGTTTTGAATTGGATTTTAAATATTAATTTGTTTGTTACTTTATACCATTTAGTTTTTTGAAAGAATATTACAGTAAGTAAAATAAATTTTGCTTTAGAAAAAGACACTATATGAAATATTACTTGATTATTAATTTAAAAACAATAATTAAGTAAAATTAACAAAGTAAGCATTGCGGTGATGACATTTCGTCAAATTTCCTGTGTTTACATATTGTTTCCAAACCACAAATTTTGTCGCGTTGGACTTAAAAAGAATTGGGTAATTGTAAGAAATATATAATTATACTGAGTGTTAATATGTATATGCGAAAAAATCAGAATATAATTGCTCATATATTTTTTCGTATATTTTTTTATGTGAAGTTATTTATTATACAGAGTGGGTCTTAAATAAGTGCAAATATTTTGGACCCCAGAAACACGATTATGAAGTTTTTTCGTGAATTTTTTTTTCAAAATTTGGAATTTTTTGAAAACCTTCTTTATTTTTTAATTGTGTTTACTGCCAGTAGGTACCAGGTTTTATGTCAATTTTTAGTAAATTACATCTAGAGATTAGAAATCTAAGAAATTCAGCCACTGGCCTGCTGTAGTAAATTATAAGTATCGATATACTCAGGAAAATCGATTCATATTGTTCATTCCTAACATTAAACCTAATTCGGGCCATGCTTTTAATGATTTTTTCTATTAATTTAGGGTAATTTATGTAAAATTTCAATAGATCGATATATTCTTAATCCTTAATAGCAGGAAGGATGCCATGCCCTATATGCCAGACTCTACTATTTTAATTTAAATTTATTGTGTTTTAATGCTCTACATCTCCTTATCACTTTTATTATCAGAACGCCCACACTCCAATTTATTTATCTGGAAAACATTCAGTGCAATAATTTTATTTGAACTTATCTGGGTGACCACAGGAAATGTAAATTTGTTCGCATTATACAGAATTATCTTCCTGCAGCTGTAAGTTTTTAGTCATATAAATAACTACAGTTGAGGGTTGGAACCTTTGGTGTTACACAGCAAAATAAAACACTAAATCACCACAATACACCAAAACACTTTTACTTTTACACTGGAAAAATAAAGATTCAGTTCCGTTGACCGTGAAGCCATCGAAGATTACAGTTAAGGGTTGGAGCCTTTGGTGTTACACAGCAAAATAAAACAGTAAATCACCACAATACACTAAAGGTGTTTTGGTGTATTGTGGTGATTTAGTGTTTTATTTTGCCATATAAATAACAATAAGTGCAAATAATCTTAGGGGTGTATATTTCAACCCCAGGAACACGTCTATGAAGGTTTTTCGCAAAAAAATATGTTGAAAATCGTACATTTTCTTGTAAATTTTCCTGTATATTTTAGAAAATTTTTTAGAACTGCCAAATATTCCCACGGTATAATTTCTTAGTCTCTGATATTATCATATCTTTACTCTATGGTTACAGCACTAAAAGGGATACAAATCTGGTGGCTCTCAAATTTTTTAACAATTTTATAACTTGTATCACTCGGTTATTTTGGACTTATTTGAAAAACGGTAAAAGGAAAATATATATCTTTTGTCGAGATCTACCAGCCCTGAAAATATTTGCACTTATTTAGGACTCGCCCTGTATAATGCTGGACCAATAAATGTTCTTAGTTACTAAAAATATTAAAAATGAATAAATTAATATAAATATATGTACATCCAAATTTTCTAATACATAATTCTATTTTGATTAACTATTAAACTCGGACATCCTGTCTAGCTGGATGTGTACACTCATACACACCCATAACAAATTAAAATACGCATTCATTTTGCCGCTTATGGGTTATTCACGCGACAATTTTATCACTTTTACTATCTCCTGTATATTAATTAAGGCAAAACAAAACGTTAATACGGGATTAGCCTAGTTCACACGCCGAAAAGCGTTAACAAAGAACGTTGACAGTCAGGCAAATTGGTCACAGTTGTGGTATTTAGTTTTTTTTTTTGTTTTGCTACTCCATCACAGCTTGTTCAGTACCAGCCGGCTACATCATGGCTTATTTTTGAGCATCCACGTTTAACCCATCGTTCTTGTTCTCGTACAAATGCGTGCACAACACAAAGCCACGCCCAGGTCCTTTTTTTTCACTTAATTTTTTCTACCCGAAACAGCATTACATCACACAAATCTCGTATCTCAGTGTTTTATAGTTTCAATGACAAAACCACGATTGTAATATTATTTCAATGCGATCAACATCGAAACTGCATGAAATACAGAGCCGAAAACTTCTGATTTTTGCCGTATCGAGCGCTGCGGTGGCAATTTTTAAAATCAACTGAAATGCTCCAACCCTACAGAGTTACAGAGGTTTGTTGGCCACCATCTTGTATTTTGAACAAAATGCAAATTAGCTTTAAGTGTAGCTAAACATATGTATCCTCAGTGATTAATTTGTTTAAATAATGAAGCCATAATTACACCAAGAAAATGTTTGATATTATCTAATAACATCGTGTTGAAGATTAAATTAATACAGCAATAGAACTTTTTAGAAAGCGTCTTTAATACTATTTTTTATGGTTCAATCAATTATATATTAATAATTACTTCCATTTCTAATGGTCAGTTCATTTACATAATGATATCTGTGCATCTGTAGATCGAACAGATTTTTTATCTCTAAAGCTTTCTACAGAGATTGGAAAAAATCTGAATGGTACACTCGGTATTTTTTTACTTTATTCGATAGAAAATCACACTCTGAATATAATGACATATCATATGTCAACTTTTTTGTCAACAATTTCAATCTAGAGTGCCATGGATGTGTTAAAACACTAATTTTTAATCAAGGAGCCTTGGAAAAATAGATTTGATTATTTAATGATTTTAGTGTCTTGTCCTGATCGGTTAAAAGATGCCCAAATCGCATTTTTAATCATACCTCAATTTTTTTTCAAATGGAACGAGGGTGGCTCATTAGCATATTCGAAAAAAGCATTTTCTTACGAATAATTTAGTACCAGACCCTTATTAGTATTACGAGTCAAATTGTCGTTATGAATCGCATGTTGCAATTTCAAAGAAACCATATTCAAAAATGTCTAAAGTTGACATATATGATATGTCATTCTATTCAGAGTGTCATTAAAGGAAAGAGAATCTAAAGAAAGTCTCTTTCTCAAAAAATTAAAGAAAAATTCAACACTTAAACAATAAAATTATACACTACATACTTCGTTTTCAAACTAATTAGGCATTATGTTTGTATACTGCAGCCAAGCAAGACCGAATAAATTGCAAAACAGCTTTTACTGCTCCTAAAAAAGGCAGTGTTAGTTAATAAATCAAACTGGAGAAGCCAAGAATAAATAATATATTTGTATATCTGACTTTGAAATAGATAAAACTAATAAATTAATAGCATTAATAACGGACTTTCTTCTGTAAAAAGATTTTAATTATTTCATATAACTGGAACTCTGGTATATACATATATATTTTTCCTATATTTACATGAATGTATGTGCAAAGAAAGTCATGCACCATAGAATACAACAACAGAAATATCTTATGATGTACGAGGATTATTCAAATATAAAATGCAATTTTTTTTTGGTATGTTCTCTGGTAAAACTCAAATTGAAATGTTATTGGTACATCTGTCCTGACACTATTTACTGTTTTTATTTAAGACTAGCGTTTACCCGCGACTTCGTTCGCGTCGAATTAATCATTTGTAATGGTATGGATGATAAAGCAAAGCAAGAATTTCCATTAACATACAAACTGGATAAAATTTTCTCACATTTATGTCATCTAGAGAAAAAATAATCGAGAAACCCCTCCTTATCGAACCTCTACACCCCACAGTCAATCCGTTTGCCAAAAATCAGCTTTAAACGTCAAGCAGTTTAAGCGGAATCGTGATTACTCAATGGTCATATTTTATGAAACACCCTGTATAAATTTATAAAAAATCTTAAAATATGTAAAACAACAAATTAAAATATACGTGTTTAAGAGTTTTTCCGAAAAACTCACCCGTTTTTAAATAAAAAATATTCTAATATTTGAGGGTGGTTTCACCCCTTAGAATTCAGTTTCGAAAAATCCCTTCTTATCGAACCTTTACACCCTAAAGTCAATCCGTTTTCCAAAAATCAGCTTTTTACGTCAAGCGCTTTAAGCAGGATCGTGATTAATCAATGACCAGATTTTTCGAAACACCCTGTATACATTTTTAAAAAATCTTAAAATATGTAAAAAACAAAATAAAATATCGGTGTTTAAGCGTTTTTTTGGAAACTTGGCCGTTTTTTAAATAAAAAATATTGTAATATTTGAGGGGTGGTTTCACCCTCTTGGAACTGGAATTTCGGGAAATCCCTTCTTCACACCCTAGAATCAACCTGTATGCCAAAATTGAGCTTCTTACGTTGAGTGGTTTGAGCAGGATCGTGATTAATCAGTGAGTCAGTCACTTAAGGATTTTATATGTTAGTATAGATTAATTTAACACAAATAATTTTTGAAATTATTTCACTTCTGATTTATGTTTCATAAATTCATAATAATAGGTCTTTATGTAACTCAACAATTTACATTAAAAGGTAAAATATATAATGAAAAGAAGCGTTTTATGTATAAATAGTATATAATCGTCTAGATTATCCGTTACACTTTCTTCAATCTGATCAATAACCATAAATTTTATCTATACCAGTAATTTATTAGATTTTCGCTTTGGATACTGCTCTTAAATCGTTCATTCATTTTCCTTTTAAGAAATTGCACCCGTATTTAGATTTGATTTATAAAAACAGTTTATGAAAACAGAGATTTATAAAAACAACAACAACTGAAAAACAGGAGTCAGCCCCTATAGAAATAATAACCAACAAAGAATGGGTGAAATATTATTCCAAATTGTTGTCAGAGAACAGACCTGAGTATCAAGAACCGCCACAGCCAGAAATAAACATTGAAGGAGAGGAAATCTACGTGGATACCAACAAAATAAAGACCGCTATAATGTCTTTAAAGAATGGAAGAGCATGTGGCCCAGAGGGAGTATATGCGGAAATCTGGAAGCAAAAAACTGTTTAGAATGTTAACAAACATAGTTAACCAGTGCTTAAATGGTCAACCAGTACCTGAACAGTGGAAAAAAGCATATATCTCCTCTATATATAAAGGGCTCAAGGAAGGATCCCAATAACTACAGGGGAATTTCGGTCACCAGCACTATGAGTCGCCTCTATGGAAGGATACTGAGGAACTTAATTGAAGAGGAATACTCCAGCTACGAAGAAGAAGAGCAGAATGGTTTCAGAAGCGGAAGATCATGTACAGATAATATCTTTGTAATGAACCAGGAAGTTCATATAACATTCATCGATCTACAAAAAGCATATGATACAGTGCCAATAATAAAATTATGGGAAGTATTGCACGAATCAAGAATTAACACAGCTCTGATAAAAGCTGTACAAAATCTTTACCATGGAGGAAAATCACAAATAAAAACGGTCAACAGTCTCTCAGAAGAAATTTCTATCACTAAAGGGCTCCGACAGGGGTTGCTGTATATCCCCAACACTATTTAAAATTTATATTGCCAAGGCCTTACATCTATGGAGAAAATGTAACGGAATAGATATAGAACTAAATGACATATGCCTATACACCTTGCAATTTGCAGACGACCAGGCCATAATTGCAAACGACAAAGAGGACATGGAATATATGGTGTGAAAAATAATTGAAGAATATGCTAAATGGGGTCTCACAGTAAATACAGAAAAACAAAATACCTTCCAATTGGAGCTAATACAGAAAATCTTATTTTAGACAATAATATGGAAATTAGGGCATGTGAAGATTACAGGTACCTGGGATCAATATTTACAGGAGGTGGAACGGACGATAGAGAAATAAACAACAGAGAATACAGGCACGAAGAGTTATCAGATGCATAAATGGCATTCTATGGAGCACTGAAATTACAAAAAACAGGAAATATAATATATACGAGACACTAGTTAAAAGCATATTACTCTATGGATGTGAAACATGGCGACTCACTGAAAGGAATAAAAAGAAATTAGAGACAACAGAAATGGAGGCGATTAGAAGAGCAATGAGAATTTCACGGAGGGATAAGATCAGAAATGAAGACATTAGACAACAGATGGGAACAGAGGGAACAATAGTAAATGATATAGAACAAAAACAATTAATATGGTACGGCCATGTTCAGAGAATGCACAATGAAAGAATTCCAAAACAAGTCATTCATTGGATACCACCTGGTAAACGAAAGAGAGGACGTCCCAAGAAAACATGGATGGAAGGAATAAGAAGGTCGATGAGCAAGAAAAATCTGACCGAAGATCGATGGGAAAATCGCACAGGGTGGAAGTTAGGCATCGGACAACGTCGTAGGACGTTCTGACCCGAATTTATATATATAGTCAAACAGCATTAAAAGCGATCAACTCAGTAACCATCAATTTGAAATTTATATTATTTGTTCTCGAAGATTTTCTCTGTTTTGTTATAATAGAGATTATCTGTAAAGATAGCGCAATTTAAAAATCTAATCGATTGCATTAACTTGAAGTACTTTCGTTTAATAGCTACTAGTACTACCAGCTTGCATTTTCCTTTCTTTTAATACCAGCCTGTTAAAATAAATCGATGTAGTTTGTAAGAGGTGCATTCTAACAAGTACAATTACAACTTTTACCTACCGATAGTAGGTGAGCTCAAGCGCAGATTCTAGGATTTGCTCAAGCGGTAGAATATAGTAGGTACCTATACAGGGTGTAGTGCAAGAAATAAGTGCAAGCATTTTTTTTAGATTTTAGTTAAAAAACATAATTTCTTGATAATATGGCAACTAAGGTAGTAGATTAAATTTACAAGAAAGAAAATCCAGAAAAGATCCAGTGGTTCTCAAAATTTTAGCAAAAAAAACATTTTTTCTGGAAATTTTGAAAGTAAAATAACTCTGTTATTTTGGACTTATATAATCTTTTTTTCTTTTTAGTATCTATTTTTCACTATACAATAGGTCCCCAAGACGCTAGAGTAAATCATCAATAAGCCATCTCGAGCCAAGGGCGTAGATAAGGGGGGGGGGTACTGGGGGACAGTACCCCCCCCCTGACGCTTGACGAGATACGGGAATTGAAATAGTCATTGACTATGAAAGGATTTTTTTTAATTAATATCCGATATATAAGAACACTTTGTATGCTTTTAATTATGTTGATGTATCGTTTATAATATGTTCGACCTAATTAAAAGCACACAAAGTGTTCTTATTGGCCAGGACAGATTAGTGGGGTTAACTCTAATCAATATCCATAAAGATATTGAAATAAATGTTGATGCTGTTATTGATAGGTTTTCCAAACAGCGTACTAGAAAACTTGATTTTGTTTTGTAGTTTTATTTATAGTTTATAGTTTTTATAGTTTTTTTGATAGTTTAGAGTTTTTTATTTATAGTTTATAGAAAATTAACTAATAAACGTCGTTGTTTCATTTTTGTTTATGTTATTTACAAATCTATATTTTAATTTAGTTATTAGTTATGTTTTTATATCTTTTTGAAGACAAAAAAATCGCCGTCGTTTTAATTCGACAAAAAAATTCCGACGGTGATTTTTTTTTGCGACTTAATCATAGTACCACCCCCATAGCATACACCTATCTACGCCCCTGTCTCGAGCCCTCCCACTAATATTGCTACTTACTAATCCACATGCACACATATACATTCACACATTTCGAACATTAAAAAACGAAAAATACCTGTTCAATTCTAGAATTTCTCCTTAATAATAACCAACCTACGAATATAAGTAAAAGTAATAAACAATAATTCGATGTAGCTAATTGTTAAAAAACATTGTTCTTGACGCCAAGATGTGTGACAATCCAATTTGTAGAAAAGAAAATTAATAAATATTTTTCTGTAATTATCAAATTTAATTAGACCATGCCGAGGAAAATTAGGGTAATTAAAAAATGTCTTGGTTTTGAAATAGAGAGTTATTTTAATAGTAGATACAAAAGATTTGTTTTTTTTTTTTTGTTTTGAAAAAAATTACCATCTGCAATATATAAAATAAGTATCTATAAAGAAAAAAATGTGAAATTATTATTCTTCCAGACATCAAAAATATGAGGGCGTTACCATATCAAATATATGACGCACTGTATATACAGTGCGCTATACAGTGTGATTCTTTTTAGTAAATTTTTAGCCAGAAAAAATCGTGAACAATGCATCATATAATACCTTCACTTTTTGGATACTTGATACAACAATATTATGTTAATAATTTTTCAAATTTTGAGATTTGAACTGAGATTTTTAAATATTGAACTGTGGCTATTTTTTTATTTCAGGAACAACATTTTAGAAAAATGGATAACGAATATCAGGCTTTATCGAAATTATCCGGATATTTAGAGAAAAAAGGACGCAAGGTAGCCATTTATTTTATTCAATCGTTTTCAATTTTTTCTCACTAATTTTTATTTTACTTTTTTTTAGAAAATGATGTCATGCTACAAAAAATACTGGTTCGTCCTCGAAGGAAGACTTCTATTGTACTACAAATCGAAAGACGAATATGAAGCCATATCACCCTGTAAGGGCTCAATAACTTTAGGAGCCACCTGTAACGTGAAACCCTGTACATCAAACGTTGGCGTATTCCAGATTGAAAACAAAACAACAACAATAACTTTGGTAAGCATAGAAATCTCAACCTGTATGGTATAACTGAATGATTGAGACGTATAGGTTTCGCAGTTATTGTCATTTGTTGTCTATATTTTTGTGTTGAATTTTTCTAGATTTGTATAACCTATTTTGTAGCAGTATTAATAGTATTATTAGCAGTATTAATACTGATTGCTTCTATAGAGAGCCGAAAGCAGGGAAGAACAACACAAATGGATGCACGCGATCATATCAGCCTTGAATCAAGGCAATAACGGGACAAAGTTGTGCCATTTTAGACATTCTCTAGGGGAACTACCGCCTGATACTGATAACAACGGTCTCAGAAGAAACGAAACGTTGAAAAAAAGTAACAGCTGTTCGTCTCCAAAAGAAAACAGACGTATCATAGAAAAACTGCAAAAACTCGGGGCACAAAGTTATGGTAATTGTTAACCCTCTATATTTACTTATTTCTCTTATATACAGTATGACAAGGAATGACTTTTTTTGATAAAAATGCATTGTTTATAAAAAAATTGCCTCTTTTAATCTCTTAATCGCAGACGAACTGTACGTTTGCTGGATCTGTGTCTATAAAAGGAATGGGGACAAAAAACATTTAAATAAACAGCAATATATTTTATACGTCGACTTGACGAGTACGTCACCGCAAATCGCTCCGCCCACTCATTTTATTGGCTACTTGCAAATTTGTCGAATTTTTATTGATGGGAAGCGCCGTCTAATTTTTTACGAAAACCATCGAGAGAATATCGTTTCCCCTCTCACGGATACCCCGTAGCTACAGAACGGACAGACGTACTGTAAACATACAAATATGCAGAATGTGGGTAAAGTAGGTGGCAACATTGCAAGGCTTCGATACACTGTCAAGAAATTTCAGGATAACGAACCTGTGGCACTAAAACTTTGTTTTTTTTTAATATATCAGAAAATATCAAGAAGATGTAAAATTTTCTATATCTTTTAAACAAAAAAGGTCTCTGGGATCGAAGTACAGGTTCCATTAGTTAAAATACTTAGCACTTATTTAAAAGGCATTAAACGCATTTTTTAGGTATCGAATCCAAAACACAGGGTCTTCAGAATTTACTAACACAAAAACGAATGTCAGTATCTCACGAATCTCTTCCTTTAAAAGTTATGGAAAAACGATTAGGGTTATTTAGGAAATCAGAAGATCAAAGCAACAATCATTTTGAAAAAGACGAGGATGTTTCCAGTTCTAAATCGAGATCTAGTAGCACAGAAAGTTGGAAATATTCGGGAGATGCCATGTATGACAGGATACAGTCTAATGAATCTGTATTTATAAAAAGGTAATACAATAAAATATAGAGACTGTTCAGTCATCGTTCAACGTTACGTCATCGTTATTTGTCAAATATGAGTTTAAGAGCGTGTCTGAGATTAGTTCATATTGTTTAGAAAGTTTTAAGTGCGTTCCTATATCATTGAATGAGCGGGTTCCGTTTTTTTTTTTCAGCATTTATTCATTTTATCGTGAACTCTTCATCAATTAGGATCCCTTGAGTTCCAATCCTTTGAACTGTTGAAATTCCTGTTTCTAAAGCATCAATAACTCGCTATATTACTTAAAAACGCTATCAATTTATTTTACATAAGCTATATTATTAAATAACTATTTATATAACTATAAAATACTATTTTATATCCTCTAACATTTTTTATTGTATTTCATTTCAGTGAAGATGAGGTCAATACAGAGAATCAATATTACTGTGGATCTAGACAACATAATCAAAATAATTCATCCCAAGAGATGTCAGAAGAATCAAGGTAATAACGTTTGTGTTCTATAGAAATAAGTAAACACAGATGCCCAAACTAACACACCTCTAGGTTCTCTTGTTTCTCTGAAACTTGAATATTTTATAGTAGTTTTTTTTTTAATGTTGTAATTTCTTACAGAGACAGAATATTTTTTCCTGATCACAACACTGACGCAGTTGTAACTGATAACAATTACTACTGGAGTAGAAAAAGTGATTCAGTCTATGATAAAGACGATCAGAATATTGATTGCAATGACAATAACATCCAGAAACATGATATGATCCCTTCTTTATCGGCAGAATCTCTCAGAAATTTGGAGCATGTTTATTTTGAACCGATCCAACTTGATAATTCAAAGTCAAATGAATACGTTGACATGCCTGTATCACCTGATCCTGTTAAAGATAAATCTAGTAAATATATCTCTAATTATACATTAGATTTGTTCTCTATTGCAGAATATCTCTATATTAGTGCACACCAAATTAAAGTTGAATATTTTGCAGTAAAGGGCAAATCTACCATTACCTAACTCTTTAACGTATTTTTGGTTTAATCTTTAGGTAAAATTAAGAAAAGGTTTAACAGTTTTTACAAGCGAACCAAAAAGTGCAAAGAGAAACCTGATGAAGGGTTAAGGAAATCAGAGAGCTTCTTGAAACGAGTTTGGGCTAGGAAAATCAAGAAAAAAGAAAAGGAAATTTCACTTACCAATAACAACGCTTTACAAAAAATGGAAATGAATGACACCACCACTGTTCAGATGTTGACAGCTCTGCAGGAAATCCTTGAAAATAAAAAACAAGAACTTAGGGTTAGTATATCTACCGTATGATCGAAAATAAATGACCTTAAGTTTGCTTAGAAATTAAACACCATAATTTTAGAATATGTAATTTAAAAAACTCACATTAAAATAAATAGGTATATCATCAGTAGCGGACCAAGAATCCAATCCCCTAAATTAACTCCCAGGTTAAATATTGGAATTTCGGGTTAAAAATGGCTTCTTTTATTTTGTTTGGATATTTAAAATTATTATTTTAATATTAACACACAAAAAATATTTCACTTTAAAATTTCATTTAATTCCATTTTTAGAAATTCCTTGAACAATATAGTTTCAAAATGTAAACAAAAATTCTAAATTCCTCAATATATACGTATATTTATTTATGCTATTATAGTACCTTATTAGTACCACTTAATACCCGCAGCGATCAGTATCAGGCATATTTAATGCTTTTTGAAATCAATAGTACATTGACTAACTTGAGCTTGTCCTGGCCCACATAATGAAGTAATTTACGATTATTTCTAACTTATGTTCATTCAAGTGACGTGACATTTTAGGAAAAACTCAAGGGAGAAACGTTATATGACAGTCAGCGAGAAGAAATGATTTACCAGGAAGTTCAAAGCGAGAATATCGTACCAGGTGAGTTTTTTACTTCTTATCTATACCAGTAGCATCGGTTGTGGCCAGGTTAAGGGATTTTGAGAGTTTGACTTATCAGAAAAAATATTTGTAGTTAATTTTGGAGATAAAGTAAAATTTTTGGTGCTTCTCCAAACATTTTTCTTTCAAAATCTGCTTTTATTGTAAAGATTTGTATTCTTAATAAACAGAAAATAAGCATTTTATGAAAACATACGATTTTTCCCATTTGTGGCCACCTTGTGCCAAATGTGGCCACATTTACTACCATTTGTGGCCACATTCTTGCAAAAATATTCTCTATATTGAATTTTGCAGATAACAAAGCAAATCTTATTATTTTATTTATTAATTTCTTTCAAAAAAAGACCTAAAATGACATTTGGCACTTAATTGTTTATATTTTTAACAAAAAATAACATGAACGTTTATTCCTATAATTCTTAAAACAAATCAAGTGATACCTAATACCATAGAATAACTAACTGAAAGAAATGAAAACTCCTATGTTAAAGCCTGGAAACACGCGCTCGACGCGATCCAAGTGGGCTACTGGCAGAACTAAAAGTTGGCGCCATATTTTTAAATGGACCTTTACTGCCAATTCATAAGTTTTTTACTTATATTTGGTAATTTCAATCTAGATTATGAACTTATTTGTAACAAAACATTTTACAAAATAAAAATAATGTATTTTGATACAAATAAATTAATAATCTAGGTTGAAATTATCCCTGAAATTAGAATAAAACACGAAAAATTTGTAACTTGATTATTTTATTATAACATTGTTAATAAAATTACATATAACACATTCAACACTATACAAGTATATATAAAAGTTATCAGAATTTATACAATCAGTTATAAGTAATTATAAAAAAGGTTATAAATTATAAATAAATAATTCATTATATAAAAGACATATAGTTACCGTGAATATAATTTGGTATAACTTTAATCTCAACTTTAATGACCTATTCAAATAGAAACATCTTACAATTCACATTATATAATACACAAAGCCAAGGGACAAAATTGTTATTAAATCTATTCTCGATGACTCGAAGCATTTTTTTTTCAAATAAAACAGGACATATAGGGCTTATAAATAATACAAGGGTATAGAAAATATATAAATAAGTAAATACAAATATATTTTCAACCTAATGATTAATGATTATACTCGTTTAAATAAATAAATGATCTTTTTAAAATTACTTGTTTGTCTTTGCAAATTTGTATATTTAATATTTATCTAAAAGCGTACACTTACATAAATTACTGCACAACCTTTAAAATTAAGCTTTTAATATGTTATACAAATTCTTGATTCGATATAAATACACTTAAATAAAACTTTAAAATTAATGATCTTCCAAATTTCTGAGACAGCCATTTTGTTGAAAGAATTTGTTTTGATTATGAGAAATTTCATAAAAATTATCACAGGGATTAATTAATCTTATATATTAAACTACTTGGCTTTTAAATTTCACAATCCTATCGTCCAAAATACTCTAAATTCGCAAAAATCCGTAAAATATTCCCATAAAAACAAATCACAATTCACTTCCACTTCACAGAAACTGACAGACATTGCCAAATATGGAATGACGTTTATTTTTCAATTTATTTTACTGATCTAACTGATCCGGGTCACTTAGAAATTAATTTTTATTAAATTATTTAATTATAATTGTTTCTGACGAAAGCAACTTCATATCAATGTTTATTCATAGGGTAACAAAGCACATCACTGTTAAATTATCAACATTTTATATAAATATTTATATTTTCAACTACCTTGTGCCAAAATGTGGCCAATTACTACCACAGAGAATCAAACGAATTGCAAAAATATTCTATACTCTGTGAATGACTTGATAACAAATCAATGATTATTTAAATTCCCTAGATGAATATCAAAAAAAGGGACTTTAAATGACATTTCTACGCAGCGCCATCTATCCATATACTTGGCAGAAACTAACATGAACGTTTATTCCTATAATTCAAAAACAAGTTTCAAGCCTGCCTAATACCTTATTTTGCTTTTTTTCTGTTATACAAATGTTAAATAAAAATTAGGTACATATTACTACTACTGTGAGGAACAATAAGCAAAGTACACTAATTTATCAGAATATTCTTGAATATTTGTTAGTTCAGGTACCACATATATGCCTCTTGAATTGACTTTTTTAGATTCATCAATTTTCATTGTTATATCACTCAGTTTGTACTAAAGCAAGTCATTTTTACTTCCAATTGCCGCAGATTTGAACCATTATAGCTATAATATTCATTATTTTCAATTTGTAATATTTTACCTGGATTCAACTGATTTCGGTACTTTAAAATAATAAAATTTCCTATATTTAATTCAGCAGATGTCACAGAAGTTTAAGGTGGTGTTGGTTTCTCTTTTTCATTTCTACTAGAAAGATCTCTATTTTCTTTAAATTTTATTTTCATTGTTTTCTTCTTTGTAAAGTTTTCATTGTCAGTTTTTGTTTTTTTCTCCTTTCCTTTCATTAATTCAATCCACTTATCATAGGTAATGACTGATGGTAGATGTAGCCTCTTTCTTTTTAAAGATTAACATCTTTCCGGGATTATCCTTAGGTTCATAATTATGTCTACTAGTCTTCTTTTCCTGCATGGTTTGGTCTAGTGGTCCTGAATCATCTTTCTTTGAATTCTCATAATTTTTATTTTCATCGCATTTGTTCATGTTTATTCCATTTAGTTCTGTATCTATATTATTTTCTATATTCCTTTTCTCATCTGAAGGAAAACTTGATGACGATATATGTTCAGATTGGTAATCTTGGCCGATAATTGTATTTGAGATATTATTATATTTAGGTACTATTATTCAGCTTTTATTAAAAGCTGAATAATAACAAATAAAATGTTCTTCATATTATGTTGTCCGTCGTTTGCACTTATATTATAAAGCTAAATAATATGTGGCCACAACTAGATTTCGATTGCACCATTTTTGGCCATAACCTGGCCACAAGTAGAACATAATTAAAATTTAATTACACCTTTTGTGGCCATAGAAATAATTCCTAAATATTAATTATTTGAATATAATAAATTTAAAAAATAGTTGCAGGTGCATAATATTTATTAAAATCATGGAAAATTAAACCCCAATACAGATTACTGTTAATAATTTGAGTTCTACTTAACAAGCTATCCTTAAGAAATGGGTTAAGAAAACAGTATCTAGTAAATATGTGCTACTACTTTTTGATCTAACGGCCGACTTTTACACCAAATTTGAATATTTTCTATCGAATATGGCGCTGGATATATCCATTTAGAAAATTATAGATGCACGGTTGTCACAGTGACGTGAAAAAGCTTAATTTTTAAGATTTTTTAAAGAAGTGGCTACAACAGGGTCAATGGCCACAAATGGTGCGTCTACCCTATATAAAATCCTTAAGTGACTGATTAATCACGATCCTGCTCAAACCACTCAACGTAAGAAGCTCAATTTTGGCATACAGGTTGATTCTAGTGGGTGAAACCACCCCTCAAGTATTAGAATATTTTTTATTTAGAAACCGGTGAGTTTTTCGGAAAAACTCTTAAACACGTATATTTTATTTTGTTGTTTTACATATTGTAAGATTTTTTAAAAATTTATACAAGGTGTATCCTAAAATATGACTATTGAGTAATCACGATTTTGCTTAAACTGCTTGACGTTTAAAGCTGATTTTTGACAAACGGATTGACTGTGGGGTGTAGGAGGTTCGATAAGGAGGGGTTTCTCGAATCTCAAATTCCAAGAAGATGAAAACGCCTCTCAAATATTACAATGTTTGTTATTTAAAAAAACGGTTAGTCTTTCGGGAAAACGCTTGGACAAGCATAATTTATTTTTTTTACATATTTTGAAATTTTTTAAAAAATCATACAGGGTATTCCAAAAAGTTGGGTAATTGATTAACCACGATTCTTTCTTGACGTAAAAAGCTTATTTTTGGCAAACGGATTTTTCAAAAGTCAAATTCCAACGAGATGAAACTACCCCTCAAATATTAGCAAGTTATATAATAATATCGCCATATTGTTTTTTCTCATGCTGATATAAACGTGAGAAAATTTTATTCAGTTTGTATGTTAATGGAAATTCTTGCTTTGCTTGACGCGAACGAAGTCGCGGGTACACGCTAGTCTAATATATAAAATTCTCGGGTCGTAGTTTTTGTTACCATACTCCCCCGAAACGGCTTGACCGATTTTGATTAAATCTTATATATTATTTTATAAATATAGTTAGGAGATCCTAGAGATTACAAAATTATGATAAATAAGTTATATTTTGCAGCAAACTCTTCAAGCGAAGAAGACAACATTCGGCCATCTTTGCCCCCCAGAAATTGCAGGAAAAAATCAGGACTGCCCAATCATATTACAGCTGAAGAGCACAGGCCAGAACCCAGGAGAAATAATAATAACTTTACAACATCCATAGACGATATTTTGAATAACTTAAATCTAGAAAGCCAACATCGGCAAAAAGATTTAACAGTTGACAATAAAGATGAAAATGAAGGTAAACAATTATTAGAGATTTTCTAATTTTTTTTTAATCTGATAAAAAATAACTCGATCAAGACACAGCCAATTTATTACCAGCTTGTCTAATCTCCATTTTGGCTTTTACTAACACTTTTAATGTAATCTATATTGTTACATTCCTTGCAGGCAACGTAAAAAAATTGATAAAAAGGTTCAGTATAGCTAGAGAAGATTCTGTGGAAATGAGGATCAAGAAAAATTGGGATTTGAATGATGGTAAACGAGAAACTTGCAGTACAGATTCTGGAGAATTAAACAGACTACTAGATGAACTAGCCAAGGTTACTACAGCACCAATAATGACACCTGGTGTCACTACCAGTCTGATTAATCCAGAAATATGCGATTCCGAGGTAAAAAAACTTTGTTATTCAATATAATTTAAGTTTATTAGTGTAACGCTGCTGAATATGCAACAAGTAATACGTCCAATCCTAACGAAATCAAGTGAAGCACTATACAGGGTTGTTCACCACATACGACACGGAGTATTGTAGCTAAACGATGAGATCTTTACAAATTGTAAGTTTTGGGTTCGATGAAGGACTATTAGAGGTACAATTTAAAAATAATTTTACATGATACAGAGTGTCCCAAATAAGTAAAAAATATCTAAGTTGTATTTTTTTAAATGGAACACCCTGTATATTATTACATTTTAGTTTCTACGATTAAAATAAAGGTAAATTTGATTAAGGTTTATGATACTTAAACCTTACCGTTTTTGAAATATTTTCAATTTTGTTAAATTGCAGTAAAAATTTTAAGGCTTCATTTCTCCAAAGGGTATCAAAGTTTTTAATACTAAATATTTACTGAAGTTTATTTATTGATCAGTTATTGTGTTGCAATAATAAAAATAATACTACCTTATACAGAGTGTCTAAAAATTTATTTTAAATAATTATTAGCTTCAAACGGCAATAACTTGTTTAATTTAAATGGAACGCCCTGTATATTTTAGGAGAATCAGATGCACAATTTAATTGTCTATCAAATTGTGTTATACCATTTTTTACCTATCCCTTCAAGTTTTCGTAGAAAATGCATTTTCTTATAATTTAGACCTCATTTATCAATATACCCGTGGAATATTGACATTTGAGATTGTTTTTAAAGATGTACCAAATTTTTAAAGAGTACAGATACTAATATCGTCGATATAATTCGTTTATTTCATTAAAAAAATAAAAAAAAACTGTTTAAATATTTGTTAAAGAGGACCAATTAATATATGATTCCAGTATTCAAACTACATGAACTGACTGTTTGCGTTGATTAATAATAATTGCTCCAAATACTAAAAAACTGAATTTTATATGGGTATTAGACAGTGTGATAAAAAGTAACACCTTAAAAATGATATTTCATTTTTTAATAAATGTTTATTTATAACAACAGAGACTTTAATTGTGATAACTTATTATTATATTGATTTCTGACTCAAATCCACATTTATTTAGAATAATTTATTAACACAACACAATTAACTATGTAATTAATTAGTATATGGGCGGAAATAATGGTGTTATATTTAATTAATGGTATACTCTTTTATAAAGATTTAAATAGTTTTCTTTTTGCATACAAATGGGCTAGTAATATTATCGTTTTGCTAAAGACGATAATATTACTGGCCTGTACATTTTGTACATTTGTTGCTTTAAAAACAATCTCAATGTCAATATTCCATGGGTATATCGATAAATGAGGTCTAAATTATAAGAAAATGCATTTTCTACGAAACTTGTAGGGATAGGTAAAAAATGGTATAATACAATTTGATAGACAATTAAATATGTGCATCTGATTCTAAAATACTACAGGGCATTCCATTTAAATTAAAGAAGTTATTGGCGTTTAAAGCTAGAAATTATTTAAAATAAATTTTTAGACACTCTGTATAAGGTAGTATTATTTTTATTATTGCAACACAATAACTGATCAATAACTAAACTTCAGTAAATATTTAGTATTAAAACTTTGATACCCTTGGAGAAATGAAGCCTTAAAATTTTTACTGCAATTTCACAAAATTGAAAATATTTCAAAAACGGTAAGGTTTAAGTATAATAAACCTTAATCAAATTTACCTTTATTTTAATCGTAGAAACTAAAAATGTAATAATATACAGGGTGTTTCATTATGTCAATTAAATCTAATAAGATATTAAAATCTGTAAGTGACATCCGACAAAAGTTCTTAAATTTTCCAGAATCCTCTGTTTCAACATCGTTTAGTAAATTGTTACCACCATGAGAAACTCGATTTTTAAAAAGAGTTATGTTCCACCATCTCCTCCGCAGTCGTTTTCTCTTTTGACGTTTCAACAATTTATAAAATACAATGAAAGACGCACAATCAATAATTTTTTCCGACATTATGAACATGAAGTGCCACACACCGATCAACGCCAAACATACAAATAAAATCGCTAGGTCTGGACGGAAGCTGATCATGTGCCAGAGAGCAGCAGAAATCACGAGCGAATTTGAATAAATGTTTGCTCGCGCTCGTTACTGCTCGCTCATCTGGTCTGGACGCCCCTTAAAAGTACATAAAATTTCCTACAAATACTGACATTTTCATAATTTTTTCTCTAGTATATATTTCACTCTTTGTATAGCAGAGCAAAAACCAAATAAACCAAATGCTATTTTTTCACCACATTTTTTATAAGTAAACCTATTTCTTGCTTTCTTTTTCAATTGATTCACCCGAAATCATTCCTTTCAGTTGTTCCAGCTGATTCCTATGAGGAGAAGAAGGATGTCAGACCCTGACTATGATATTCCGAGGCCTCACAGATCACTCACCAACGTACAAAGAAAAGATGAGAACGCCTTACAAGCTACGAGGTTCTTCGGGCCCATTCTGAGGCCTTCTGATCTCATTGGTACTACAAAAAGACCGTAAGTATAATGTTTTCAACATTTTTTGTTTGTTTCTGAAGCTCAAATATAGACTCCTACTTAAGTATTTGCTCTTAAGGGTCCATTTAACTAGTCCCAAACCCAAGCAGCATTTGGACGTCGGGACAACGTTGTGTCACGCGACCAAACGTCGGGGCGCAACGTCGGCACAACCTCGTGCCAACCCTAGTCTGCACTAGTCTGGAGAATAATTTTTGGGTCGAAACGACGTTGGATACCGACGTTGGCTAGAAGCCTAATTTAGTACAAACTGCAACGTTGTTTAAAATCCTTTGGGATAATTGGGATAATTATAGTAAAAAATTGGGATAATTATAGTAAAAATATTATTTTTATGATTTAGTCAGAGACATATGTCAGATGGCAGTGAAGGAAAACAAAACAAAAGTATTTAAGTGTGGAGGATGTTTGAAGATCATAATTATTGAAACACTTTAACCGACTCTGTAACTCGTTAGCCAAGGCAAAAAAGTTAAACGCAAACAACTTTATTGATAAATGTATTGTTTCTACTTTGAAAAATACTAATGGGCCTTAAAATTAAAGAAGTTTTAAAAATTTTCTTGAATTTTTTTTTAGTAAAATGAGAATAATTTATTCGCAGTCGAAAAAATTGTTTCTGCGTGTTTTTTGTGTTAAATATTTCAAGTTAATGTATTCAAAAATCAGGAATTGCAATTTTAGGAACGAAACATTTTCTTATTTAACAACATGGCGGCTTTCACTTTGTTGTTTTGGAGATTAAGATGGAGTAGTTCGAGTAGTCGCATACTGCACTAATAAAGTCGCAGTTCGGCCTTAACAGGTAGTATACTAGTTGCAAGATTGCCTAATTTAGTCAATCTAGAGTCTAGCTTGTGCCGCTCTCTATAATCTAAATAAACGAGGGAGTGGATAAACTATCGGTAATATATGTCGATGTATATTTAAATTTAGTTTTATATGTACCTTTCTTATGTCCCATTTTAATTAAGTTTTTTTTTTATAAAAACAAAAACAGCACTGAACTGTCTGAGTGAACAGAACAATGAAGTGAAAATTTAAGATTTAAGGTTATGGTTCAATACAGTTGCAAAAAGATAGTGACTCGACGTCCTACCAACGTAAGAATAAGGAAATCTAAACAACGTTGGAATTAGTAAAACAGACGACGTTTGCATAACGTTGGAATAGGTCCTGAAACTGACGTCGGAAAACTCTATATTGTCCAACGTTGTAACTACGTTGTCCGAATCACCTAAAGATCGCTTAAGCAAAAAAGGTTACAAGACAACGTTTATTCGACGTCGCAGAAGCTTTTACTTTGCTGTAGCACTAGTCCAACGTCGGCACAACGTTATAAAAACGTTTAAATTTATTTTAATACCCAAGGTAGGAAGCTAACTATTTTTTGTAACTAATCCAACGTTGTGTTTAGTAAACATGTGGTCGCAAGTCGTGAAAATGCTACTTGGGAACAGTAGCAAAATAAGCGTTCGGCATTTAACGTTTTATGTAAAACTGTGCGAACTAGTTAAAAAGGATATAAAATTATGCGTGTCCAAGCGTTTTCCCGAAAGACTAACTGTTTTTTAAATAACAAATATTGTAATATTTGAGGGGCGTTTTCACCCTCTTGGAATTTGAGATTCGAGAAACCCCTCCTTATCAAACCTCTACACCCCACAGTCAATCCGTTTGCCAAAAATCAGCTTCAAACGTCAAGCAGTTTAAGCAGAATCGTGATTACTCAATGGTCATATTTTATGAAACACCCTGTATAAATTTTTGAAAAATCTTAAAATATGTAAAACAACAAAATAAAATAATATTTGAGGGGTGGTTTCACCCCCTTAGAATTCCAGTTTTGAAAAATTCCTTCTTATCGGAACTCTACACCCTAAAGTCAATCCGTTTTCCAAAAATCAGCTTTATACATCAAGCGCTTTAAGCAGGATCGTGATTAATCAATGACCAGGTTTTTTGAAACACCCTGTATATATTTTTAAAAAGTCTTAAAATATGTAAAAAAACAAAATAAAATATACGTGTTTAAGCGTTTTTTAGGAAACTTTACTGTTATTTTAAATAAAAAATATTGTAATATTTGAGGAGTGGTTTCACCCCCTTGGAACTGGAATTTCGAAAAATCCCTTCTTATCGAACCTCTATACCCTAGAATCAATCTGTATCCAAAATTGAGCTTCTTACGTTGAGTGGTTTGAGCAGGATCGTAATTGATCAGTGAGTCAGTCGTCAGTCACTTAAGGATTTTATATATTAGTATAGAGTATAGATATTTATCTAATGTTTATAACTGCTTAAAATGAAGAGTATTTCTAATCTTATACTTTATTATTTGTAGACCAACTCCTCCAGTAGACTACTCCAACGTTCCTAGCATGACTCCAGACTCTTTGGAAGTCAATTGCAGAAAATCCTTGAACCAAGAAGACCAGAATACTTCCTACCAGTCCCACGACTACGTAAACTACCAAAAAAGAAGCCACAATCGCGTAGACGTTTTGGTTGAAAACGCCCTGTATGAAGACCCGAGATTAGTGCACAAATCCAAGCAGGATTACATAAAAATGAACCCTCACATGAGGAACCTTCACTACAATTCTGCCTACGATAACGAATTTATCGATTCTCTAGAAACTTGAAGACAAATTTTTAGTTAAAAAATGATCTGAATTCAACTAAAAATGTATTTAGTTGAAAATGATATAAAAATATCATACGATCGAAAAAAAACGGCGTCAAAGACGGCTGGGGAATGACAATCGATGACAATTTTTGCGAAGTCAAGCCCTACAAGCCATTATTTAATCCTTTTTTAATCTTTTTACTAAGTTTTATATGTCAATTTTTAGTAAATGACGTCTAAAGATCCACCTCGCCAAAATTATCGTCGATTATCATTACCAAGCCATCTTTGACTCCGTTTTTTTTTCGATCATACGGTATACAGTTCTAGGTTTCAATAAAAGTTACAAAAAGAAGAAATTTTAAAACTTTCATTTTGTTAGTTTCTTTTACAATACGTGTGTCATTAAAATAGTTGGACCATCCTGTATATAAAAAAATATTAGTTTAATTATTATAAAATATCTACCTGTATTTATTATAGTATTTAATATAAAAAATATTGTATACGTTTTATGTATTCGCCAAAGAGATTATTTTTGTTTTGCCAGATTGTATATTGTTTTAATTTTTTTTTAAATAAAAAAAAATATTCTGTTTTCAATAATAAAATATATTATATAGTACAAAACAGCTGTTTTATTTTTACTCGGATTATTTTCTGATTTTTATGCAACACACTGTATATTTCATTGTACCACAATAACTGTATGTGTTGAATTTTTTTGATAATCTAAAAAATGAATAATGTACAGGGTATTCTATTAAATTCTTCTTGTATCTTCTTTAATGTTTATAGGGTTACAAAATATGAAATATATATTAATAAACATCAACAGGTTTGAATCGTTAATGACAAGATTTAAGTATTTTTAAAAATATTTCCAATATTCCTAATATTTCCGAGACACGTTTCGATATTTCCAATATTTCCATTTCCATCATTACTAATTAAAAATACGATTAGGACATTTTTTAAACGCCCAGGACAAGACACGAAAAATATTAGATGATCAAATGTATTTTTCTAAGGCTCCTTGATTAAAAATTAATGTTTTTAACAGAGCTATGGCATTCTAGATTGAAATTTAAAATTTTAAAATACGATTTTTTAAGCAAAAATGTCAAAAGTTGACATATCATATGTCACTCTATTCAGAGTGGCATTTTCTATAGAATATATTAAAAAAATAAATGGAGGAAGCCATTCAAAAATCAAAAGATGTCAATCAATCCTAATTTATGTCATAATATGTTAACCTACCAAACTTCGTTTTTTTATCTGAAAATTTAAAAAAATTACAGAAAGTTATACAGGGTTGTTCACCACATACGACACGGAGTATTGTAGCTAAACGATCAGATTTTTACAAATTGTAAGTTTGGGGTTCGTTGAAGGACTATTAGAGCTACAATTTAAAAATATTTTTACAAGATACAGAGTGTCCCAAATAAATAAAAAATATCAAAGTTGTATTTTTTTAAATGGAACACCCTGTATATTATTACATTTTTAGTTTCTACGATTAAAATAAAGGTAAATTTGATTAAGGTTTATTATACTTAAACCTTACCGTTTTTGAAATATTTTCAATTTTGTGAAATTGCAGTAAAAATTTTAAAGCTTCATTTCTCCAAGGGTATCAATGTTTTTAATACTAAATATTTAATGAAGTTTATTTATTGATCAGTTATTGTGTTGCAATAATAAAAATAATACTACCTTATACAGAGTGTCTAAAAATTTATTTTAAATAATTATTAGCTTCAAACGGCAATAACTTCTTTAATTTAAATGGAATGCCCTGTATATTTTAGGAGAATCAGATCACAATTTAATTGTCTATCAAATTGTATTATACCATTTTTTACCTATCCCTTCAAGTTTTCGTAGAAAATGCATTTTCTTATAATTCAGACCTCATTTATCAATATATCCATGGAATATTGACATTTTAGATTGTTTTTAAAGCAACAAATGTACAAAATGTACAGGCTAGTAATATTATCGTTTTTAGCAAAACGATAATATTACTAGCCCATTTGTATGCAAAAAGAAAACTATTTAAATCTTTATAAAAGAATATACCATTAATTAAATATAACACCATTATTTCCGCCCAAATACTAATTAACTACATACTTAATTGTGTTCGTTAATAAATTATTATAAATAAATGTGGATTTGAGTCAGAAATCAATATAATAATAAGTTATCAAATTAAAGTCTTTGTTGTTATAAATAAGCATTTATTAAAAAATGAAATATCATTTTTAAGGTGTTACTTTTTATCACACTGTCTAATGCCCATACAAAATTCAGTTTTTTAGTATTTGGAGCAATTATTATTAATCAACGCAAACAGTCAGTTCATGTAGGTTGAATACTGGAATCATATTAATTGGTCCTCTAACAAATATTTAAACAGTTTTTTTTTAATGAAATAAACGAATTATATCGACAATATTAGTATCTGTACTCTTTAAAAATTTGGTACATCTTTAAAAATAATCTAAAATGTCAATAGTCCATGGGTATATTGATAAATAAGTTCTAAATTACAAGAAAATGCATTTTCTACGGAAACTTAAAGAGATAGGTAAAAAATGGTATAATATAATTTGATAGACAATTAAATTGTGCATCTGATTCTCGTAAAATATACAGGGTGTTCCATTTAAATTAAACAAGTTATTGCCGTTTGAAGCTAATAATTATTTAAAATAAATTTTTAGACACTCTGTATAAGGTAGTATTATTTTTATTATTGCAACACAATAACTGATCAGTAAATAAACTTCAGTAAATATTTAGTATTAAAAACTTTGATACCCTTGGAGAAATGAAGCCTTAAAATTGTTACTGCAATTTCATAAAATTGAAAATATTTCAAAAACGGTAAGGTTTAAGTATAATAAATCTTAATCAAATTTACCTTTATTTTAATCGTAGAAACTAAAAATGTAATAATATACAGGGTGTTTCATTTAAAAAAATACAACTTTGATATTTTTTACTTATTTGGGACACTCTGTATCTTGTAAAATTATTTTTAAATTGTACCTCTAATAGTCCTTCATCGAACCCAAAACTTACAATTTGTAAAAATCTCATCGTTTAGCTACAATACTCCGTGTCGTATGTGGTGAACAACCCTGTAGAAGAAACACCAGGTAAAAAATACTGTACCAATCATATGTTTATAACTTTTTCTTTTATTTTTCTCTGTAAAATCAACCGCTGAAGTTCGGTAAATAATTATTTCTTTACTCCCTGTATATCGCCAATTATAGGATATATTTTTATAGATACAAAAAAAAAGAGAACGATTTAAATAAAAAATATATTAATACAAAACACGAACAATAATATTCTTATCTTTTCTTCCCTTTTTTCTTGCCACCTTGCAGGCGTTTCCTCACACCTGAAGCGGCCTCTGTATCATCTTCATCATCATCGCCTTTCTTCCTTTTGCCACCTTTCTTCTCTGTCAAGTCCCTGAGTTCCATATTGGCTATCCTTTGCGCCTCTGCAACCCTTTCTTGCAACGCCATAACCTCATCTTCCTCAGTTTTATACAACGGAAGCTGTTTGCCAATCAGCTGTTCTATCCTCTGATATAATTCGACGTCATACTAAAAAAATTCATTGTTTGATGTTTACTTCTATTTTCACGTTATTACAGAAAAAAAAACCGATTTTTTTTACTCAGAGGTAGTGACGAAAATATATATAAATTTATTTCATTAATATATATCTCAATAAAAAAATTATGCATCATAGTCAGTAAATTATATACACAAAAATTAAAATAAAATTAATAAATTATTATTTATTTAAGGTAATTTATCACTAAATTTTATTAAAATTTATAAAACTAATGTAGAGTGCTACCCACGACAAATTCCCCAAACAATAATGGTATTTAAGATAATAAGATTTTTATTTCACAAAAAATAAAATACGCAATTCAAGGACAAAATCTGAAACAGAAGACTATTTTCAGTATATTTATCCAAAAAAAATAGTTCCATGACATTGAATCATTTTTTATAGGCCCTCAAAATTGCTTTAATTTGAAATAATTTTAAAGTGCCAATTGATGACGTATGAAAAATACGCCCAATCACATTGGAGAACCGTGCTCGTGCGCCAGCCAACAACTGGCAACATTGCGATTTGATTTGACCAGCACCACCTCAACTCAAGGCCAATCAACATGATATGGGCAAGGCAAATATGGCGGCGAAGGCAGCGCATTATTAAATTGTTTACCTTTAACCTGAAAAGCCGGTAGTGGTTTCTCGTTCCGATCGCATACCAGAAATAATTAATTATCTCTAGTTTGTTGTGCTTCCGCAACACGTTTGTTTAGTTCTTAGTGTTCAGTGCATGGTGTGATCAAAAAATTGTGACAAAATAACAGTGTAATAAAAATCCAAACCAGACATTCCACATAGGGAACTTCAACTTAATTATTTTAAGGTAAGAACTAGAAGTATTTATCAAGATATTACACCTAAATGAGTAAAACGCCTTCGCCGCCAGTCTGCATAGTACTTTATAATGGTTACTTACAATAATCAAAAGATAGGGATTAAAGGGTAGGTATTAACATTTTATTGTAGCATGCCTTTTACATACTCTGTTCCAAATTGTCACGGGAATTATTAGAGGGGGTCCCAAGGTTTCTGCTTTTATATTCCCCAAGCTTCGTAAAAAATGGTTGACAGCTATTAAAAGAGATAATTTCACTCCTACTAGTAGTTCTCGGGTAAGAAGTGCATTAAATATGCCTCAAAAAGGCCAAAGGCCAAAGCCTCTGTTACCCTAGTGAGGATATAGTAATGGCTACTGCTTACACTTACCTCACTATAAGTAAAATATTGGAAGAATCAAGCTTTTTACATCAAAAAGATCACAGAAAGTTATTGACAACATTGACATTTGAAAATATAAATGGCCTGGATGTAAGTCTTTTTTTAGGTCACAATTGCCCCTCACATAAGTCAGAATTTATTATTAAATCCATCTTGTTCAGAATATCCAATATTTTATTGAAGAACTATGCAAAAAAAAAAGGAATGACGTCTTTACCACAAAGACAATGCCCTATGTAAAGAGAAAGGGTAAAGAAAACTAAGCTAAGCGTAAGTTTTACTTACGAAACCCCAAAAAGGTATTTAGTTTTTTTTCTATATAAAATCTTGAAACACATATTATATTTTTTATTTATCCCTATTATTTTTATTTATCCCTATTTATTATCACCTATTATAGTTTAAATTTATTCCCATTTGTGTAATGCTGCAAAACAGAAAAAATATTCCATATTTTTTGACCCAAGCCAGTGTAGTTTATAATTCCAAGAGCATTTACCAAGGCTTTTACTAAGACAAGTAACTTCTTATACTGTCCATAATAATATATATTTATCAAACGTTCAGTAAATTCTAAACTATGGTAGGTAAGTGTTTGCAATTGAATGTTTAGTTTATACTGCTATTTTCTGTCATATATTTCTGGTTATTTCTTTTTCCGATGATTATGAACACCCTATATATGCTACCTCAAGTTTGAATATTGTAACACTACCTATTTTCTGAGAAAGCAGACCTTTTTATAAAAAGTAACTAACTGATGTTTTCATATTATTTCAAAAGAAATAATACAAAAAATTCCATACTTATGTGGAGAACTTTAGACTTCCTGTATATTAAAAAATTAGTGAAATATTATGTAATCTAGCCCGACATTTGTGTGAAAATGTCTATTTAGAAATAAAACAGGTTTTAAAATACGCACCAAATAAAGCACTTCTATCTCCGCCATATTGGAAAAGGTTGAATGGCCTTGTGTGGAGGTGGTGGTGGGTCAGCATGGTGGCCCGGCCGGTGTGTGTTGCAGCTTTTCAACATGTCAGGTGTGACGTATTAAAAATAAGTGTGGATTTTTATTCTGGGCTTTTTTGTTTTTATTTATTTTCTTAAGAACGACTTCAAATTTTTCGAAAAGGAGATAACAGAAAATTCTAGAATTAATTGCTTTATTCAATTATGCTAATTCCAAAATATAGTGAAAAACAGCCCATTACAAAAAGCCTATTTTTTTAAAGTTTGATATCCTTAACTTTAAAACTATGCAGTTCTGCACACGATTATAGGAATTTTTTTATATTTTTTGATGAGGAACACACATTTTTACTACACAATTTTGCTAACAAGAGAAAAAAAGTCAGTGGCGCACATATTTTTTTAGAAAATTATTCCGAGTGACAACCCATATGTACGTCCCTGGTGAATCTATCAACACTTTTTTTAGCATTAAAATATGTAGCACTCATAGTAACTTTTACCCTCCAAATTCCATTCGAATCGCTAAAAGCACTAGGCAGAAAATTATAATAAAAAAAATAAAGACTTTAACACCCTGTAGCTACAAAACAAAGCAGAATCGGACACATGTTAATATGAAAAATAAATCTTATTTTTACGTGAGGAATCTCCCTACAAGAGATGCCACGTTTTTTGAAACGCCCTTTATAAAAAAATATTTTTTCTCAGTGTACATACTTAAAAATTTCTTTCAGTAAAATTCTACACATTTTTTTTTTCAGTATATAAGGTAATTTAATTGTCGAAATAATAGGACTTTAAGGCAAAAAAAGTTACAAAAAATATGTACTAGTATTGTGATTTGGTTAAAATTTCGTAAAAATTATCACTTATCTCGTTTGAAAGCTGTCATGGTAGCAAATTAAAACACTTAAATACACTTTACATATAATGTCAAATATAATTTGTATGTAAAAATATAACAAAACCTTACCTGAGTAACAAAAGTGATAGATCTACCCGACCTACCAGCCCTGGCAGTCCTACCAACTCGATGAATGTAATCCTTACTGTGCATAGGAATATCGAAATTTATAACTATATCTACATGAGGAATATCCAAACCTCTGCAAAGCAAATACTTGAATTAAAAAAAAATACAAAAATTTCAATTTAAAATTAAAAAATTGTTCTGTCAGAGGTAGTGACGAAATTAGTATTTTATTTTATTTCATTTTTATTCAACTACTATTTCTACATCATTCAGAATCAATAAATTATATTTATCGATACAAAAAATATAATACTATATTACCTGCTAGCCACATCTGTTGAAATCAATATAGACCTAGTTTTGGCCTTAAATTTAGTCAAAGCTGCAAGTCTCTTATTTTGGGACATTTGTCCATGCAAGGGCACTGCTGTAAATCCTAGATTTCTTATTAGAAGAGCTGTTCTCATAGTATTGTTGCAAGTTGAACAGAAAATCATAAAACTGTTGCCAGCCAGTTCGTTTAAAATGTGTACCAAATACACATCCTAGAACAACAAAAAGAAATCATTAGTAATTTATAATATTTTCAATAGTATAAGCCACTTATTCCAAACATTTATCAGAGGTAGTGACGAATACAATTAATATTTCATATAGAATATCAAATTATCAAGTTTATACATCATATAATATAAAGAAAACACTTAAATAATAAAGTATAAAACTCCAAAACACTAACCTTAAATTTAACAGGAATAAAAACATAATACTGCTGCAATTTCTCGACAGTTTGGTATTTTGTAGAAACCTCCACTTTAACAGGGTCCTGTAAACAGGCCCTTTGTAGTTTATTAACCTTCTTGGTCATGGTAGCGGAGAATAAAAACGTTCGTCTCTCTCTAGGAATGACTTTGAGAATTTTATCGACCTCCACTTCAAAATCCATGTTTAGTATTCTATCTGCTTCGTCCATAACCAAATATTTTAGTGCTCTGTAATTATTATATTCTGAAAATCATGTTATATTATTAAAATACTGTTTACTGTTTACCGTAAGTTAAATCCTTTAGTATTTGTCAAGTGATCGACTAATCTTCCTGGGGTAGCTATAATAATGTGAGGTTTCTTTGCAAGAATTAATGCTTGAGACATCATATCCATTCCTCCAACAATAACTACACTTTTAACACCAATACTAGACCCTAAAATCTAAACTTTTAAGAAATAAAACAAAATAAATGTAACAATTTCTAACCTAAAGCTTCAAATTGTTCGGATATTTGAAATGCCAACTCTCTTGTGGGTGTTAAGATTAATGCAAAATGCCTTTGTGGATTCTCTAGTAGAGCTTGTAAGATGGGTAAGGCAAAAGCAGCTGTCTTGCCTGAACCTGTTTCGGCCAGACCAATAATGTCCTTTCCCTGCAATGCTACTGGGATGGCTTCCCTTTGAATCTTTGACGGTTCTTTCCATTTTAACTGTTCGCAGGCTTTACAAAGGACATCTACAAGACCCTGTTAATTTAATAAATACAAACTAATCAATGAGAAAGGGGAAAATGAAGATTTGCATCAAAGACACGTGTTCAGCGAATTCTTACCAAATCTTTCCAAGTCGTTGGTTTTTCTTCGGACGCTTTTACCTCTAAATCTGTTGTTTGCTCTTCATTATCGCTGTTTTCACTTTGATTTTCTGAATCGTTTTCATCCGAATTCTCTATTTTATCTTTTTCCGAAACCATTTCGTATTTCGTAAACCAAAGTCAAAAATAGGTTAGATATCCATAGATTTTTGATACGTTTTCGAGTTGACAACTGTCACTGTCACTGTCATAACATCCTGTTTGACCAACATTACAAAAAAATAATTTAAAAAATTCTCTTTAATAAATAATAAGCAAGATTGGCAGTAGATCTCTGGCAGTAGTAAAATAATTATGAATTTTTCTTTTTAGTTGATATTTACTAAATGGAGAAAGTAATAAAAGAGCTATAAAATTTGTAAGAATAATATTGTTTTGATATGGAATATTGGTAGCATTGTTAGTGAATGACATGTGCGTTCTTTCAGTTCTTTGGTTCTTCGTTCCGTATGTTTGCCAAGTGCCAAGACTGCCAAGCGCTTTTAGCTCGTTTTTCTACCTTTGGAAACATCGAAGGTGGTTTGAAAGAGGCGATTAAAGATCATTTTAGCGTGTCTTTAGGGTTCTATGACTCGAGACCGAACGACTGAACTCTCGTTTCGAGAAAGAGAGACGGTAATCGTGGTCAACCGTAATAAGCGACTTTCGATCTAATTTTAGATAAGTTTTCCACGGTTTAATTCGTAAATAAACGTATTCCAGTGCTTCGCAAGAACTTTTCCGCGTTCGAGACTTTTCACGGTTATGTCCGCCAAGTGTGCTGTGTTTAGGTAGAGTCGGGAAAATCTCGTCGTGTTTTGTTTCGTGTGTGCGTCATTTTGACGCGAGTTTTCAGAGTGATTTTCGATGACATGACATTTTAACATAGAAAAAATGGCCTCAACGTCAAATTTCGAGGCAAAAGTTCTCATGTCCAAGGGAAAAAGGGCGACGGCGGCCTACGTCCGCGCTGACTGTGCGGCCAAACGCAATCCCGAACACCTCAAAGAAGTCCTGGACAATCTCCTGAATCCGGCCAAACGAATCGACGAATGGGAGACGATAGATTGGTGCAAGTGGCTTATGGCTGGGGGGCGAACTCCCGACGAATTCGCCAGCACAGGTAAAAATGATCAGCAGTTTGTACCCGAATAACCTTGTCAGTGGCCTTCACCAGTTTTTGTTTCCCAGTTAACCAAAACTGACTCATTTCCAAATTTAATGAATGCTATAATACGCTCGGTTTTGTCTCGTTATTTTCGATATTTCTCAATGATTTCCTTCCAAAACACACACCGATGTTTTCTCTAATTCGCTGTAACATAACAACAGACCTTGAATTTTCTTGCAAACCACTTAGGTATTGCATAATTTGTTGTGTTTGTTTCTTTTTTTCTTCTGGAAAAGTCTGACGGATAAAGAGATCACGAGAATCAATAAAATTGATAGAATAAATTTATAAATAAAATAGAGCTAAGAATTGGAACAGGAACTTATGCATTTTGGCAAGAAACTTGAGATAAATTTTATTAATATGATGGTTTTTAGGAAACCCTAAAATTAGAGCATTCTGCATGGTGTCACCAATTTTTTTTATCAGTTAAATAAATAACCTTGGCATAGTAGGCACTTAGAACAATGTTGATATATACAATAAATATTGCTCAAGATCTAGAATCGTCTTATTTTATTTTTAACAGTCCTATTTTTTTAATTGTAAATTTTATCTCCACAAAAAAATATCCCTTTTTTTTCTAAGTACTGCAGAATGTGTATGTCAGATTAATAAATTTTTACAGGAAATATTAATAAGTAAAATAATGATGTGTTATTTACATACCAGAAAACTGCTGTAAAATATGTTAGTCCCAGAAAAATTAGTAAACAGAGAAACCATAACATACAGGGTGTCCCAGAACCCTGAAATTAGTGCAAGTACTTTAACTGGTAGTATAGGTCAACCCTAGAAACACACTCGCGAGGTTTTTTTTGCGAAAAAAAAAATTCCGGGAAATATTGAAAAACTTTTGAGTGCCACTTTTTCAATTTCCAGAAATTTGTTTATAGCGCTTCGAGAGAATGCAGTGTTGCCACCTCCTATGTTATCCACATTCTGTATGTTTATTAACTTATAATTTTGCAATTTGCCTAACCAGCTACTCTTGATTGCCATTTTATTGAGAGAAAATTCGCTTTTTATTCAAAATCTGAGCCAGCCAGGTATAGGAAACCCTAATATAGTTTGAAAGAGCATTTAAATCTGCTTCGATTTATTTTGAAAAACACATAGTGTTGTATTTGAAATAACAAAGTTTTTATGAAAAAGTAAATATTTAAAATAGACCAGCAATTTTTGATACCCCTGTATACGTTTAAGGAAGCAATAACATTTTTCGGTAAAGTTTATTTCTCTACCTTTAAACTCAACACAAAAACTAATTCTGAAAAGTAATGTACAGGATGTTAATGATCTATTCTATCATAATCTCATAATAAATACCTTTTTTGGGCCCAAGAATCCAAAAATGAAATAAAATACCGGGTGTTACATAAGAAAAAATATAACTTTGGTATGGATCTTAGTTCTGAAACACCCTGTACATTTCAAAATAATTTTAAATTGTGCACATTACCACAAAATATACACCATACAGAAGCGACAAAGAGATTTGCTTCAACATTTTTAGGAGGGGGGGTAATGCTGGTTAACTGTCAAACGTGACGTCACAGAATTATACACCAAAAAAAAATTCACGACCGCAGGTATAATTATTTCTAGATATTATGCATAAAAGACTAAAAAATATATTTCATAATTATTTATTTATTTTTAACTCTAAATAAAAATACTGATTTAAATCCCTCTAGTTTTTAAAAATTAAATAAACCTGCCTTTCATCATTTTCTATTAAAATCTAACAATTTTCTTTCAGTGTGAAATGCTGTTCAGGGCGCACGGATGTCAAACGTGACGTCACGCAATTAGTTCCCATTTGACCAATGCTATTCAAAGCTCTTTGTCGCTTCTGTATGGTATATATTCTGTGACATTACCTCCCCACATATACCCATAAAATATTTTGTTTCTACATCTTCCCGTTTTCGTATAATCAACCGAGGCGAATGAGGTGCGTCACCCTGTATATATAAACTAAATATAAACCAAATTATAGACACTCAAATTGGCACTGGAAGATTCAGAAAATAATAAAACAAAATAAATAAAAAATAGACATCTTCATTTTATTGAGTAAGTAAATATTTAATTCACTATATTGATATTGGCCAATCCCATTTAATGCATGTCAGTATTGCATAATATCGCAGCAAATTGAATTAATATTATTATGGAACTAGATTATGACGTAATAAAACTAGGTATACGTATTAGATATTATTTATGCAAATTTTTACAAGATTTACAATATGCCAACAACACCGTTTGCCTATCGAAGGTCTACAATTCTAATTAAGTGTACAAGAAACAGAGGGATCCTGCTTATCTAACTAGCCAACATCGAAGGTTGTTAGAATAACTAGATATATATGAAGAAAAAATGATATAGGAGCACCTCAACAAATAATTAGATGTATGCAACCGTATTATTTACTTTTACATATTATGTAGTTAAATGTTTTCTAGAAAGACTGAATTAAAATTTAGAGTTGAGAAAAATGTATTGGATCATGTTAGTATGTTAGTACTAGATACGTTTTTTCGTTGATAGTTTCTGTAGCCTAAATAATGCCTACAGTATAGTCGACGTGGTTGGTATTTTAATGCGTGCGAAAGAGATAGATATAAATGATCGGTTGACAGACACAGAGACAAAATAAAAAGCGTAAGACAGTGTTGCCAGAATTAAAGGATTTTCTTCAATATGAAGAATTTACAGTAAAATTTCGTCGATTGAAGGGCTGGAGGATTTTTTATCCAAAATGACGACAATATGAAGGTTTCTGGCAGTTTTGCAGAATAATTTTTTTTAAAATGATGTACTAGAAGCATTTATTGTTTTTCCTACATGTATTTTTTCCATAGATTTAGGAAGAACAGATATCACATTATGCATTTTAACCCGATCAAACATTAGGAGGTTGACTACGTACTGTAAAAATCAACTGAGATAGAGAAGGCGACATTGCCACATATCAAATTTGCCGGATATCAATAAATCTCAATTTCTTAATTAAATTAATAGTTTATTTTTAAAGAAGCATGCCTAATAATATGTTATTAACCAGAGGATATATACGTTACTATTAAAAGACATGTTTACTGTTTAATGTGCTGAAACGTCTAGAACTACTGGCAACGTCGCTGCTAGTCTTCCAGAATGAAATGAGCCGTCCGTCCCACCACCCCTCGCGACGGCCCATGGTCCGTTATAGCGTACTACGTTTAGCTTACGGTGTGTTTGAAGTCGGAATCAAGTCCGAAGTGAACTTTTCAGTGTTTTTCAGTAGTTTTTGTTTTTGTTTAATGTACTTTTGAATCTGCGAATTTTCAATATGGTACGACAGTGTCAAATGTGTGGACAAATAAGCTCAAATTACCCGAATTTGTCTTTTCACAGGTAGGTATTGTTTCCGCCGCGCCGTAATCGTACATAGGCGTCCCACAAGGGAGCCTCTCATAATTAAAATAATTTCTAATTATATTTGTTGAATTTTGATCCATTAAAACAAGAACGTAGTAGCCGGTAATTGAATTATAATTCGTCTCAATTACTACCTAACTGTTGTAGATCATAACAAATTTGAATATAAACGTTACATTTGAAACTTTATTGTAAGCCAGAAAGTGACATTATTTTCTTAAAATTGCGTCCTATTTTGGTAATTATATACGATATTCTAAAGGAATTTTGCTCAATAAATAAACAAAGGTGTTTACCCGACCTTTTTTACATTTTATTGCTTTATTATATCTGCCCCTTCGGCCTTGTTTAGACAATTTTTTACCACCGTACAAATACATCTTCCTTTTAGTTTTAGAGTTATTTGTACAGTGTGTTTAACTTTTTTTAGAATGGGACGAACTGTAAATAATTACCTATATAGAGAGCGACCCAGGCCTCCAAAAAAGCTTTTTACCTATTACGTTTTTGGTTTGTGATTTTTATTTCAATTTTTTACATAAGATGGGGGCTTGAATGGGGGGATAATATTTTTGTCAACATACAGGGTGATTCAAACCGCAATACATATGCTTAATACAGTTCATGAAGATTAGGACATTTAACTAAAATTTGATTATCTGATGAAGCTACCTTTAAAAGTAATGGATTTGTAAACAAACGTAATAGGTATTCATTATTATGCGACAGAAATCCCATACTGTAGCACACAGATTTTATACTTTTAATGATAAATGCCTTCTATTGCGAGACTAACAGGCAATTGCCTCGTATCAGAGCCATCATAATACAAGAAGAAAACCGAAAGTCAAATCTTGTCTTATATTTTCAAAAAAAACACAATTTTCTCATTAAATATTGATTTTAGGTATAGGAAGTTATTAATAATACAAGATTAAACAACTGTCACACAGTACTTCACAGGAAGCTATCGATTGCGAACTAACTAAATCGTTACTAATTAGGTACTAATTTTGAAAAGTTCTTTTTAAGATAAAAAAAGGTAAAACTAAAACCTAAACTATCATTTGAGATTAAACGGGAAGTTCTAAATAATGTTGCCTATTCTAAACAAGAAAAATTTATTTATAAGTTAAGTTTTATAACATTCCTAATTAAATTTGGGCGAAAAGAATATTTCTGTTTGCTGTAGGTAATTTTCTCAGGGAAAATGCGTAAATAAAAATGGAAGTCAAAAAAAGTAAAAAGGACAAGTTATTCCAAAAAAGGACTGTCTTTTTCAAAAAAGGACAAGTGACAACCCTAGGTATTTCTGGAATGGAAATTTAATGGCAAATCTACAACTTTGGTTTGAAAATATGTTCCGGCCACCTATGTTTACAAAAATGTCTAAAATGTGCCTAAATGCCTCCATATTCTGAAAAAAAAATTGAAAGAAAACTCACCAACCACAAACCTAATATAGAACTGTTTCGGAAGTCTGAGTCACCCCGTAAATATTCAAAAGTAACTGAATGTTTAT